GCTTGGCTGTCTTATCATCGCGCCTTATCTATACGCGTTCTCTGTGTCGCCCTTTGATTGGCGTTCCGATGCGCCAAAGACGCGTTTTAGATCACTTATTCGCCGTATAGAGTAGTAACTGACGTCTCATTATACCATAATGCTCTCATCCCCAGCGTTCCTGGACACGGTCTCCTTGCGCCCTCTCTTGGCTATTCTCAGCAAAACGCAGTAAAATGATAATTTTACTGCATAAATCCTTAAGTTCCCTGGGATATCTATACAGGGCACTAATACACTCTTATTTAATACCTACTTGAACCTCAGGATTGTGTACTTTTTATTCCTGGGCCCGATATAATATTGTTGCATTGGGTCCTATGGGCCATTTTGACAAAACTATGAATTTATTCTCACTGAAGCGAAGAATCGTAAAGTTCTCGAGGGATATAATAGCTGCCGACTTATAGCACACATCGCAGTTAAAATTTCGGTACTTTAATAAATACTTTTTATTCCTCGAGACTTTCAAATTCGGCCCGCTTTTTGCCCCTGTAAAGTTAGCACTCCGCCGTGCACCAAGAAGCTTGCGGCCAAGCTACCTTTACATAGGGTTATCGAAAAAAAGATTTGTACGACGCGTTTGTGACAGCATATTGACTAAGAATGGGGCAGTTATAATATGACTATAGATGCTAGCAATCAAAATTTCGGCCCTGGATTTCAAATAGGGTCAGAAACACTTGCATTGTGTATATCTTGCTTTGAATTTGCCTGTGTACGTAAAGTTTTAGCTCGGTTACAGACACAAACTGAACAAAATTCTTTCAGGCGTGTATAACTAGAAATAACTAGAAATATAACTAGAACGGCGCGCAACTGGCCGTTCGATTGTGTGTCTTTTTATCTATCTTATTTTATTTGTACATATATACGCGTATAAATAAAGAACACAACGACGACGACGTTGAGAGGATGACACACCGGGCGACGGCGGTGCCTCAATCTGAGCCCTGGTGCCTCGGAGGCGGCAGCTTCTACTTTGACTTGGCTGCCTCCTTGGAGCCTGATGCTTTGACCCCAGAGGACCCCAGTGAGCAACAGCACCATCATGTTCCTGGGGCTCTTTCATGCACCGATCGAACGGCGTGCCAGGGGTGCTATGTTGCGCCTTTTGGACTCCCAGGAGACTTGGAAGAGGGAAGTGACGTCAACGACTAGAGCAAACGCAGATTGGATGTTGACGGAAGAAAACAAAATCAACATCCAATCTGCGTTTGCTGTGTCGTTGACGTCACTTCCCTCTCCCTAGTCTCCTGGGAGTCCAAAAAGCGCAACATAGCCCCCCAGAACCCCGTGGCTCGCTGCTGACCCGCCCGACCCACCTCCACGAAATCTGGACTTCTGCTAATCTGACTGCCATCCTCCCCAATACCAACAATCCATGTCGTCGTCATTATGCATGTTTATACTCATCTCATCACATTATCATGTTAACTAGACGCGGCACCGTGGGCCTCCATGGTACGGTCTGCTGCCTTTCCGCAGTGCCGCGGCTCTCCAGAGCCAAATAGATAAAAACTAAAAACTAAGGACTAAAGATAAAATGCTTTGCTGACCAACAGCCGGTAGCGCCTGAAAAAAAAGAACAATAGTTTTTCCTCGTTTGGAGGATGCGAATTCCCAAACTACACCATACTAGTGGCGCACATCACTGAAATAACATAGGCAATACCGAAAATAACAGATTGCCTTTTGAACGCAAAACGGCAAAATACACAAAATTGGGGAGACTTTTTTTGTTTCTAAAAGCCAAATTCAGAAACATAAACTAAACTAATGTTTGCTCAAACTCGGGGTATATCGTGTGCATCGTTCCGAAAATGTATCAAACAAAAAACACCACGCAACACACTTGACGTTGTTTCACACCTCGAGACACTGGCTTGCACTGGCGCACCGACCGCCGGCGTAGCATAGCTCGTAGTCGTGAAATGTCTGCGACTGATGATGATGATTGCTTATTTGCCCCCCCCCCCCCCCCCCCCCCCCCCCCCGAAAAAGGAGACTCGGCGCGGACCTCCCCTCCGTCAGGGTTGGATTCGGCATTGCAGGCGTTCTGTCTAATGCAAATGAGCGGAGTGGAATGTATTCACCCTATACTCTGTTTCATAAACTTCTTAGTGAGCGCGTTGGTAATGATGTAGGTTTAGAAAGAGTTATATACGTAAAAACAGGGGACGGGACAGCTATACTTTACTATACTTTACTATACTCTGTTTCATACTTAGCGTGCAACGCTGCCAAAGCTACTGGCACGAGCGTGGGGCTTGATCTCGTTGATCATTTGCACGCGTCCTCGCGCAAACAAAACCATAAAGGAAGCCACGGGCTCGCGCCAGTAGCTTTGACAGCGCTGCACGCTAAGTATGAAACAGAGTGTAGTAAAGTATTTGGCCAGACGCAAACGGTGAAAAGGGTGGAAGGCCGTAGAGATGCACTGGAGAGGAGGTTCAGATGGCGGTCGCGGGCTTCGAATTCTCCGTTTATCTTGCCCTAGGGTGCCTACATGTCTGTCTGTCTGAGGGTGAAGACATCCATTGTTGCCTTGAATGTGCCAGCGCGTGACGTTCTCGCGCACTCGGTGCGTGACTTGGGCGGTAAAATGGCGTCTACGCATTAGCCAAAGCTACGCGCTCGAGCTGAGTGACACCGGATTGCGCGCGCTTCAGAATGCATAAAAAAAACGATTGGGCGGGAAAATGGTTGAGATGTCAGCACTCAAGCAAAAGCGCGCGTGTGTATGAAGGCACTCTATCTTGCTCTAAAACCCCTCGATGTGTTTGTGTCTGTCTTGCAATAGTGCCACTAAATAAGCTACGCTTCAGAGTAACGACACTTGGCCATAATGTGGCTTAAAATCATGGTTGCCAGTTATCTGAAGCTTTATCTGAAATCACAGGAAATGCTTTTCCACCCTCTACAAATGTTTAAACCGTTCGCGACAGAACAGAGCAATATTACATGACCTTCCTAACACCGAATCTAATGCTGAGGAAGTCGCACTTTTGAATCATGACGATCGGCCGTTGCGTCTGTTCTGCATACGAGCCAAAATGGCGGCGCCCACAACAATGTCGGGGAACGGAGTGCCGATACTCTAAGCGCAGCTTATTTAGTGGCTCTATCTTGCAAGTAGCGTCAAATGCGCGAGTACACGAGACCCACGTCTCGAGCGGCCCTTGGAAGCGAATGGCGGCGCAGCACTGAAATGAGCGGACCTAGGAAGCGAATGGCGGTGGAGCACCCGCTCGTGGCAAGTGTCTCGCGCGCTTCCCCACCAATGGTTGGCGATACTTGTAAAAAAACGCCCTTATCAAGGGGCTTTATCTTGCTCAAGGTTGATACGCCACGTGTCGTGAGAATCGGGAACTGAAACAGCGCGTCTCAGAAAGCTGGCCATGTTGCTGTTCGGCGTCCTTAACGGCCGATTCTGCAGCCTCATTGGCTTTAAAGAAACACCACCCTTCCCCCCCACCCCCACCCCCCCCACCCCCACCCCCCCCACCCCCTCCCACCCCCCCCCACCCCCCCCCCCCCAAAAAAAAAAATATATTTTTTTTTTTTTTTTTTTTTTTTTTTTTAGCCAGGCGATTTATCATTGTGTCAGCACCCAACCAATATTATACAGAGTCAAGTATATTGTTTTAATAAAGTAAAGAAACTCATCCATTTTAAACCGAAAGATGTGCACAGAAGCTCGGAGGACAGAGTTGCCGGAAGTCACGTGGCCATCGCTCCCTACTCAGTTTTTCTTTTTCTTTTTTGCATTCTTCCCTTTTTTTGAGCGTGTGAAGCAGACGGCGACAGCGAGAACGTTGCTTGAACCGCTTCTCGTGCGTCTGCTTCGCACTCCTATTCCTTCCCCCCGCTGTTCCGTGCTTGAAAATCGATGGGCCGGTATCCACGACCCACAGTTCCCATGTAGCGATCCCACGCCGCAAAGTTGGTTCGTCGTGCGCCACCATCGCGTCCTGACCAATTCAGTTTCCCCGCTGAATTGGTGCTGAGGTCACGTGATGTCAGTTTTCTCGCGAAATCTACCGTAGAAACTGAATTTGTTCATAGATTACGTAACACCAAGTCATGTGACGTCATTTTCCTCGCTAAATTTTGCGGGAAAACTGAATTGGTGTTGAGGTAACGTGGCTTTAATTTTCAAGCTAAATTTAGAGGGGAACGTGTGGGAGGAGGGGAGGGTACAGACAACCGGTGTACAGAGGAGGAGGAGGGGAGGAGGAGAAAAGGGGCGTACCCTCCCCTCTATACCCTCCCTCCTCCTCCTCAAGAGCTGCGCTCTAATTTCGCGTTACAGAGATTTGTAAACGTCTTTCATTTTTCGATCAACGTATTTGCAGCTCCTTGGAAGTCACAAAAAAATGGGGTTCTTATTCTTTTCTATCTTTAATACTAAAAGTGTACCTTAGATGACCCACGACTTTGTATGTATATTTGGTACGCATCAGTTTGAACGGCACGTGACCGTGGAAAAGAAAGTGAGGGCGCCTGAAACCGGTCAATTCTCGACCGGCGGTTTTCGGGCGGAAAGAATACGAATTTCGGGCCGCAAATCGTGTTCTGGATGGTTGGGCTCTCATAGGTCACGTTCAAATAAAAACATTGACACGCATAAGTACCCTGTCACTGTCCCCTTAAGCAGCGACCATAGGTTCGTCGGCTTCATTTGTAGGGGTTGTAGTGACGTCAGAATGCCGATCTCAGATTGGCTCTGGTTGAAGGATAGTGGGTAGACCTCAAGGCAGCTTGCTTTCAGGTCTACCCACTATCGGAGTCAATCCGAGCTTCGCGTTCTGACGTCACCACAACCCCCGGAAAAGAAGCAGACGAACTTGCGCTCCGTATACCAAGAAGCGCACACGCGCTGACATTTCCCCGTGCCTTCTGTCCGGTATAGAGAACATCGGTTGGCTCACCGCGATCGGTCCTTGTTGCTCTTGCAGCGCGTCCGGGCTCGCGATGGACCTGGCGGGCGGGCCCGTGGACTCGTCGCACATGGCGGCGTCCCACCACGCGGCGCGCGAGAACGGCACCTGGGCCACGGAGCCCTTCATGGAGATCGAGGAAGGGGAGTTCGCCAAGGCCTCCTCGCCCATACTCTTCCTCTTCGTCAGCTTCATCCTTGGAGGTGGGTGCCCCATCTGTCCGGCCCCGTCGCGCCCCTTTATCCTGGGAAAAAAGGCGCCATTCACTGTTGCGGAAATGCCACTTCTAGGAAGAACATGGCGTCTGAAATCTAGCTCAGTGCTGCGCTGTGCCGCCATGCTCTTCCCAAGGGCTGCACGATGCACGTGCCTCGTGCATCGATGCTCATGGCGCTACTTTTAAAACATGGAGGGGCTTTAGTCGCGCCCAACTGTGCCGCTAAAGTCACTGGATCCTGGGAAAGTCGTCCTCTAGGCATTGTGCTAGACGTCATAAAAATAACAGCTTAGCTGGTCCTCCATCTTCACGTGTTTATACGCCCCTCGGTGCCCCCCTTTTGATGGCGCCCTGTTCGACTGCACAGGTAGCATATCCATCCAGCCCTGATCACGTATACTGCCAGTCCAGTCCGAACCCGTCGCACAGCGTCTTCGATAAAGACCGTTCACTTTACCTGAATGATTCAGTCTATTGCTTCAATGAGAAGTCTTGCGACCTCGTTGCTGACAATTAATTTCTCAAAATCTCGCGGACGTCTTTCTTTTCTCTGTTGCACCAAAATTGAATAGCAACCCATTGAATGTACAAATACAGTGTCCTAACCTCATGAAAACCGAGTGGAATGCAGATGCGCCTCGTTTACAAATGGCAGATGGCAAAAACCCTCCAATATGGCGGCTCCGGGTGGCATATGATGATGATAGCTGGAAGATATTTTACGTATGGCCTATTGGTCTTAAATGATTGATTCGAAGACTGTGTCCCCTTGACGTCACATTTGAGCGCGTTATTTGTTCACAGCGCTTGCTCAAAGCGGACTTGCACTCATGGTGTGTCAAGTTATGATAATCATGGCGTGTAAGGCACTTTGCGGAAGTGTTGTAAAAACTCGCTCCTCGGCAATGGGCCTACCTTTTGTTTGCTAGTGAGTACAGTCTATAATGCAAATGCATATCACCGCTCTTTTGTTAATGCGTAGTTTTTTTGTTTTGTTTTTTTTGTTATATGAAGATTATCTCGTACATACACAGTTGAATGGAGATTGAATATCAACACTGACCATGTCAAACACAGGCGAGGCAAGGGGAACGAGCACTTGTCTTTCGAAGCTGCTTTCACCCGATGTTTTGTGCTCCAATTGAATGCAAAGGACAGTGTAGGTCCGTCACATCTGTGATGGTTGAGTCACGTGACCAATAACAAGGTGCTCAGGGACCTATCTTGGGCGCTCAACGCTTTAGGGCTGTTCGACTAATACCCTTGTCAGACGGGAAAGTAAATGTGATTTTGATCGAAGGCGAATCAGCTCGTGATGCTGGTTCTGCACGTGGCGGGTGCACGCGCAGCGTGGCGCATTAAACACGCGGATTGGCCGAGCTGTAAGGTCATTTTGCTTAAATGGCATTTAACGTGGGGTATAATAGAGTTGTCCGATCAAAAACGTGCATCTGCACCGGTAAAGACGCGCCTGCAAGCTCGAAATGAGGATGGGCGATGACACACTCGATGGCCCACGGAGCGAGCGTCTAGAGCGACTTTGTTTCCCTCCCCTCGGCCACAGCCCTGGTGCGGTTCCTGCTGAAGCGGCTCAGCATCCCGCTGCCGTACACGGTGGTGGTGTTCGTGTTCGGCGCCATAATGGGCCTGGTGTCGCACTACTACGAATCCCTGCAGGTGTACACGTACCTCGCGCGCATCGACCCCAAGCTGCTGCTCCACATGTTCCTGCCCATCCTCATCTTCGAGTCGGCCTTCGCCATGGATGCCCACACCTTCGTGCGCTGCTTCAGCCAGTGCATCCTCATGGCCGTGCCGGGACTGCGTGAGTGCATAAGGGAGCCCGGCGATGCTCTGTGATAACTACACACAAATCGTCAAACTTAATCTTTTCAAAAAGGGGTGCCATCTTGTCGCTGCTGCGTCAATTATCCGAGTCTACCATGACACGTGTTCTGTCTACTGGACACGAGGGTTGGGTCAGTGTTCAGCGTGGACTCGGATCCAATGACACTTTCGTGCCCCAGGAATGGCGACCACCAATGTTGCTCGATGCACTTTTGAAAAGGGGGCCCCGCTGTCGCAGATCTCGCACTCATTGGCAGCACTCTCAGCAGCCAGGAACCATGCATGCAGAATGATTTCCTTCAGCATTTTGTATAGCCTTTTAGTCGTCCCGAGCGTATAAATCCCCACGGGTTGCGAAATGCAAGCAGGCGAGTGTGCGGAGCCCTCGGCTTTCGCGAGACTAATATCTTGCGAGCAATCTACTTTCCTTTGTGATTCCCTTTCACGTACAGTTCCACACCTCAGAGCAACCCTCCCAGAAGCAAAAACCGCGATGCGATACGAATACTAGCCAATCATTCTCAGGCGAGCCAGTGAAAAAGTCGATGGAATCATGTTAATGTTAATTCAGCTTCAATGGGCAAAAAGGGTGTTCAATAATTTTAGCCACAAGGACCCCATGGACCCTGAGCATGGTGTAGATCGTCAATCTCAATGGCTGAACCATTCAAAGGAAAACCAAAGATGGGCACGCGTATGTCGTCATAAGCGGGAGCTGTGGGTAATGTGCCGCCTGCCAAAAGAACAGCTTTAAGCTCGCAGTTAGCAGGCGCTACATTGTTGCACACACCTATGTCAGCCACCTGCCTGTAAATCTCCATCGTTACTCTGCCCTGTCTGGACCGCAGTAATCTGCTCGGGGCTGACGGCCTTCCTGTCGGTGAACCTGTTTGTGAGCTACCAGTGGACGTGGCACAGCGCCCTCCTCTTCGGCTCCATCCTCAGCGCCACGGACCCCGTCGCCGTCGTGGCCTTGCTCCGGGACGTCGGTGAGTGCTCCGGCCATGCTATACGGAGCGAAAGTTCGTCTGCTTCTTTGGACGTCAGAATGATGCCAAGCTCTGACTGGCTCTGATGGAGGGATAGTGGGTATACACCTCAAGACTGCTTGCTTGGAGGACCACCCATTACCCTTCGATCAGAGCCAATCAGGGTTCAGCGTCGTTCTGACGTCACCACAACCCCTGCAAAAGAAGCAGACAAACTTACGCTCCGCGTACATTTGATGCCATGGCTAAGAATGCAGTATAGATGCTCCGCCACCAGCACGTGCTCCTTGCCTTCCACCGTGTTTTGGCTCCGCGACCGAGAAGGTGGTATCGAAGGCAGTAATAAGCTCGCGCTGGAGGCGAAGCACCTACTGCATTATTTAACTGTTTATGTGCTTACGAGGTTCACACTCCTCCAGGCGGGAAGCTTCTCAACGTTGGAGAGCTCGTGCGTTGGCAGGCGACCTCGCGCTTGGCGCAACTCGCGTGCTGGCAAGCGAGCTGCGTGGCGTTAAGGAGTTCGCGGCTCGTGCTGGCAGTAGGCGACAAAAGTCAAGACTAATGATCTGTCAAAGGCAATTTTCTGGCTTGCAATGTTAGTTGCTTTCTTTTTTCTTAAGTTGGAGGGTTTAGTTGGCTTTTATTTCATGTGGATAGATGTTTCTCTGCAACGAGTTTTAGCGTTTCACTGTAACAATTCTTACAAAAGGGCAAAACAAGAACGGTAGAAAGAGAATTATGATTTATGTCACGGTATATTGCAATGGTACCCTATATGCCAACCTATAGAAGGTACAGGAAAAGTAGCCGTGACTGTTGTAATGCAGCTATCGCAAAGCCAACGCTTAAAGAAGCTAAATATAGTCTTCTGGTCCAGCCATGACCAAAAAAAATCTTTTTTTTTTTTTCTAAAATAATTAACCAGGTGAGCTGGTCGAGATTCACGACGGATACTTGAAACTAAGTGAATTTATTAAAACTACGCAGAACGCAGGTCTTATGACCTGCGTTTTTAAGATTTCTTGAACCCTCTCGGCCTCGGTTATACGTCTATAATGTATACTCCTTATCGGCGTTTTTTTTTTTTTTTTTTCCCCTTTTTCTAAACATAACTTTTTGACTTCGATTTGCATACGAACGTTTCTATAGCATAATTCGCTGTTCTTACGTTAGCAAGGTTCGGATATGTATAGATGCAGGCGTGCATCGGCAAGCACGTGCTGACTGCTTTCATCGCTTCTTGTTTCCCCAACGCAGGCACGTCCAAAATCCTGACGACCATCATCGATGGCGAGGCACTGCTGAACGACGGCTCAGCCATCGTCATCTACGAGGTCCTCATGGAGCTGGCCATGCCGGGAAAAAGCATGACGGGCAAGTATACTCCTTCGACTCTCGGAGATCCTTGAATGGACAGGCCCTGTACTGTACAATGAAGTCGGCAAACCAATCATTGGCCTTCCTTTAATCAATTCAGCCAATGAGAGGCGATCGGTGCCATCATCCAATGACCAGTCAGTTTCAGGATGGCCGTCTGCCACGAGCGTGATACTGTAATTGAACAAACTCATTAAAGCCACTGCCGCACTGCTGGAATACGCAAGGCACAAGACATGGTATTAGCATTGCGGCCGTGACTTGATGAAAGTCCAGTGACTGGTGTTTCAAGTGCATGCATCGCAATGCCTTTCGACCCTCGAGGTCCTTCCCCTTGCCCCTCGACAAACCTCGTCGCCCGTTGAATGTGCAGCCGCCGAAGTGGCCTGGATGTTCTGCCGGATCGCGTTCGGCGGGCCCCTGCTGGGCTTCATCATGGGCAAGATAGCCGTGTGGTCGCTGTCCAAGGTGTTCAACGACTCGGTCATCGAGATCACCATCACGCTCAGCTCCGCCTACGTGACCTACTACCTGGCCGAGAACGTCTTTTACGTGTCCGGCGTGCTGGCCGTCGTCGCCCTCGGGGTCGTCATCAGCGCCAACAAAGTCAGCATCAGTCCCGAGGTCGAAGAGTTTGTGCACAGGTCGGTTTCTCCGCGGCAGCATATCGCGTATAAGGTGCGCATCAGGTAGCGGTAATTAGCAACTTTCACGGCCTATAGAGGCCCGCCCTAGTTCCCATCAAAATGGCTGCCATCTGGATGATCGTCGTAGAACAGCCGAACGAGGTTCGGCCTGTGACGCGTAAATGATTCTAATTTTGCGACATGCGAGCGATATGAGAGCCTTACGTCATACTTCCCCGTCAGGTCGGTGTTAGCAAGCACTTATCTTTCCTACCTTTTAAAGCCGATCATCCAGGGGCTAGGGAGAGCGATTCTCACACCGCGGTGCCACCATCGCTGAAAGTTGCGAGTTTTGAGAGGCTATGTGTAACATAGGTTACATATGTCCTAAAAAATAAAAAAAAATACTGTTTGTCAATTAGCGGTACTGAACGTTTACACGCGTCAAGAAGTTTGTTTCGGTGGCTGATAAAGGGTTAGGAGTGAAATGGAAGCTCCTCCCCCTCTTTCCACTTTAGCAGAGCGAGCGCTGGAGAGGAGGTCGCCTCCTCTCCAAAGTTCGCTCTGCTAAAGTGGAAAGAGGAGGGAGGGGCTTCCGCTTAAGCTGTCACCGACTATAGACCTTTTCCCCAACGGCGCCGCTATCTTGATTTGACGTCACTTCCAGTATGGGCGAAAACATTGTTTTGCCCTCGCCACGCCAATAGAAGACATTTAAGATATAAGCCTAACCATCACACATTCTCGTTTTGACTCCCCTCTATTTTTTTGCTAGTTACAGGTTGAAACGTTTTATTATTTTGTCGTCGCCCATACTGGAAGTGACGACAAATCAAGATGGCGGCGCCCCTGTGGAAAATGTCTATAGGTATTATGCAAAGGCGTGGCCTATTATGATACCGCATCGTTCGTCGGCGTTCTTATCGGCGAATAAATACCGCACTCTGATTGGTTGCGATAATAAGACATTCGGAAATCGCCCTGCCTTTCTCAGTGGCTATACAGAGGCTGTCATAATGACCGCGGTGACGTACGAGGCGCCGTTTCAAGGCTGGCCGAGAGCAAGTTGTGGAAATGCAATAGACCTGCAGCGGCAAAAAGCACAGCGTCCTTCGCGGCTGCGAGAGGAATTCTGGGAGTTACTGCGTCGAACCCGCAGTCAAAGATCACGAAGGCAACTTGTACAAAAATATGCCATGTATTGCGCTTTGTACGAGTCGCAATTCTTAATGGGTCCATATCAAGAATTGGGCAAGTAAGGTCATATATGCAGCAGTATAACGCGGGGTGTTTGATTTTAATTCGATCATATTTATTGCAAGAAATCCGTAAAGGGTACACTAATGCGGTTTGTGCAGGTTAGGTGTAGGGCAAGGGAGACATTATATAGGCGGATCACCTTCTTAATAAGTCGGATGATTAACTAGAACGTGTTAATTAACTCTTTAATTAGTGAAAATGAGCAAATGATTTCAATTCGCTAGCTTTGCGCCTGCTGCTCGAGTGGTAGCTTTGGTGCACCCCCCGCGTTTCCCACTGCTTCGAGTCGCTCTAAAATGGGCTGATTTAATGGTTTTCGATGACGCGCAGCAAGTTTCTAATTAAAGCCATACGGTGATTTTGAGTTTCACTAATTAAATTAATTAAACACTTGTTAATTATTTGACTTGTCGTGAAGATTAGCCGCCTATATAATGTCCCCCTGACTGTAACTCACCCGCACAACCCAGATTAGTGTACCCTTTACGCATTTTTTTAACTAACTCCGCTCGCATTACAATTAAACGCCCCGTAAATGTGGCCATATACATATATGGCCTCCTTTTCCCGATTCTCGGTATGGCCATATATGGCATTCTTACGCGGGTGAGCGGGCGAACGTCAGGCCAGGCGCACAACCGCGCTCCTCGAGGAGAAGCGCGTACAGGACTTTCCCAGAATTCCTTCTGGGACTCTAACCGGACCCGATGTGTGCGCAGCTTCTGGGAGATGCTGTCGTACCTGGCCAACACGCTCATCTTCATCATCGTGGGCGTGGTGATCACGGAGCGCTCGCTGTCCTTCATCGAGAAGAACGACCTGTTCCTCATCCTCATCACCTACATCGGCATCACCGTCTTCAGGTACGGGCCAGAGCTCTCACACGGCCAACTTCCCGATCGATCACAGCGCGCAAGGTTGCTATACTTCGTTTCAGCTTCGGTCCGAGCTCTGCCGATGTTATGAGCCGAAGGGCCAATCAAACAGCGCAAGAAGCTCAGCGTCATAGTGTGCTCTCTGCGCTTGATAGGACTAGCCGGCGGAGGAGCGCGCACAGAGAGACGGCGAATACCGGCTGGTCCTATCAACTGCAGAGAGCACGCCATGATGTGCCTCTTTCGCTGTCTGATTGGCCCTTCGGCTCATAACATCGGCCGCGCTCGGACCGAAGCTGAAACGAGGTATATACTGCGTGTCACATTAAGCACGACAGCAGTCAATCCAGTGAGGCCAATCAAACAGGGCCAAAAGTGCATCGTCACGGCGCTCGATCTTTTTGTCTTCGCGGGTTTGATACCATCGATTGAGCCAATCACGCACACACACGCCAAAAAAGTGCAGGATCGCGGTGCATACGTGATTAAATTTAATCGACGACAGCAAACCCACAAAAGGTGATGAAAGACGTGACTTGGCACTTTTGGCGCTGCGTGATCGGCTACGTCGGATTGCATTTATTCTGTTCAGAAGAAATCGCGATAACATCATACAGTAAATAAAAAAACGGTAGTTTAAGAAAAGTTGAGACAGATAGTTTATGGTTGCGGTGAAAAAAAAAAGCCCTGGGATTTTTTTTTCGGAGACATTCTGTACATTTTAGGCGTAATAATGACGGAGACTCCCTCCGTTTTAAATTTTACAAACATTTTTTTTAACAGCGGAGTTGTTAAGGGCTGGTTTCCCCAGGATCGTGTCCCCCGCAAATAAATGAAGACACCGAACTTTGGACACCTACCGCCATCTATGAGCGACGGCGGCAAGCCACGTATCCGGTTTTCGCCGTCGCTCATAGATGGCGGCAGCCTTTCCACTCTGGCTTGCCAACTTGCGGCCGGCCATTACTTTCCATTGTACAGCTCCGCTGGTCTCCCTTCTTCACCAGAGTGGAAAGGCTGAAAGTTTGTTCTACTGAATAGTGTTTAATTAGTTTCGCAGCTACTCATGGACAACACATTCCTCTTATATGAAGCTGCTACACGATCTTATTCAGACAGTTATTATATAGCTATAGTAGAGTATAGGATGTGGTGGTGCACTCGACAGACTGGTGATGATAGGCATCCTGAGCCCGATTCTGACACGGCTGGGCTACGGCCTCAAGTGGCAGGACGCCGTCGTGATGACCTGGGGAGGCCTGAGGGGTGCCGTGGGACTGGCCCTGGCGCTGTCGGTCGCCGAGAGCCGCTACATCAACCGGGAAACCATCGGCAACAAGGTCCCCTCTCTCTGTCTTCAATTTCCTTCTCTTCCTGTAGCATGGCTTGCATTCACGTCGCATCAGCTGCCGTTGTGGTAGTCTTGCAGCTGAGCGCATCCTGCTGCAAACTGTTTCCACGTCAGATCGTGCAATCATGGTTCGGGTCCTATTTTTACAGCGGAGCTGTTAAGGGTTAGGTTCCCCAGGATCGTGTCCACCAGCAAAAAAATAATGATGACACCGAACTCTGGACAGCTACCGCCGTCTATGAGCGACGGCGGCAACCAGACAATTGGTTGCCGCCGTCGCTCATAGATGGCGGCAACCTTCCTTCGGAGGAAGAAGGACGGGAGCGGAGCGATCGAGCGGCGATGTGCACAGCAGCGCGAATGGTTCCGCAACCGCCGCAAAGCCGCTATCGCCTCAAGTTCCACTGCGTCGAGTGCTTCAGATTCCCTTGCGAAAGAAGAGCAGATCGCTCGCCTGGAAAGCCACCGTCGACAACAGAAGCTCCAGCTCCACTGCTCTTCCTTCTTCATGAGAGTGGAAAGGCTGAAAGATTTTATATTTATGTAAAAAAATACGTTAAAGCCATGTTCTTGGGAGAAACATTCGGCTATATGCGAACGCCGTAGCTTATTTTCTTCCGGAGATATAAAATTTCGAAGCTCGAGGCATGGAGATTGCCAAGGTTTTGCTATAGTACTCGCACAGCTGTCAATTTCACACGTAGGAATAATATTTTTTTAACTTATTCTATGAAAGGTTTACGACATTTCCACGAAATATTAAAAAATACAAGATTTTTATGCAAAACATCTTCGAAACACGTTCAGTAAACACGTTTTAAGGAGACATTCAGAAACTATTTTCTGACGAACTACTTCATATAAAGCGACGCGAAATATGTCAAAATTATTATCTTTAATTGAGAACTACGAATATATAAGAAAAACATGCTTAGTCGTTATTTTAGTTATGTTATTAATGCGTAAACGCAGCTAATATTTAAAAAATAAAACATCTTTTTTTTTTCTTCAAACTTTCCTTAACCATTTACAGTGATTTGAACTCACTCGTGATGGCAAAACATTGAGTAATATATGATCAACTTAGGGGAAAAACGACAACAAACAAATTGATCTAGCTCCACTTCGTTATAGAGGCTTTCCCGCACGACGTCATCTCCAGACATTTTCTGGAACCGACAAAGGCTGTATACAGCGGAGCTGCTCTATCGTAGAATGTAAAACAATATGGTGTCCCTACTTTAGCTTTACGTTTGTGTTTCCTTGAGTTACTTACCAAAACATATAAAATAGCGCAACAGAAACAAGGACAAGAAGTAAACAGGACAGGGCTGAGAGGACATCATGAAGCAAGTTGTGTCAAAAAGTGCTTGTATTTTATACTTTGAAAGTGCATTCTATTTAGTACTTTACTTCAAGTAAAGGAGTAAGTACTACTTACTCCTTTACTTGAAGTAAAGTACTAAATAGAATGCACTTTCAAAGTATAAAATACAAGCACTTTTTGACACAACTTGCTTCATGATGTCCTCTCAACCCTGTCCTGTTTACTTCTTGTCCTTGTTTCTGTTGCGCTATTTTATATGTTTTACTAAGATGAACCAACTAGCCCAACAACATACCTTACTTACCAAGACCGACCCCCCCCCCCCCTTTTCTCCCCTTTTTCAAGACACGCCCAACGTGTGTGTATTTTATGGAGCGCCATAAAAGGCTGCGCATGCATTACATATCTGTAATGTAGGTGGATTTAATTGAATTCAATTATGACCACCTTGTCTGTAATTGAAATGGTACCTTTACATTTATTAATTATAAAGTTAATTACTTGAAGTAATCTTTAACCTAATTATATAAAACACTTATTGTTTTCCTAGAAACTCTTTTTCTGCGCGACGCATACTGTTCACAGAAACGATTTGGCCCGCGTTTCGTGAAACACCCTGTATGTGTAGCTGAATGCTTCTCCCAAGCAAGAGGCTTTTATATAATATAATATATATTTTACAGAACTATACAAAATATGACCCAGACCATCAGTGTATCAACTGACATGGAAACAGTCAACAACAAAGCCCTTGTGGTTATCTATAGACGTATCGGTATTCCACTGGGTATACGCATGGATACTTGGGAGGAGTAAACTGGTTTGTTTGTAACCACACAATGTGGAACAGCAACATCCCGACTCTCCAGACACATACTTCATTCTTCTTGTTTTCGCGGTGTTATAACCTTTTCGTGCGAGCCTTCGGTTGTTAACAAATGTCTCGTTGTACCGACGTCGTGCGGAAAAGCCCCTATAACGAAGACAAGCTAGATCAATTTGAGTGTAGGTTTTTTGTCGTTCTTTTCTTAAGGAGGTCATACGTTAGAGAATGTTTTGCCATCACAAGTTATTTTAAGTCATTGTAAACGGTGCGCTAAAAAAAAGTAGTTTATATTTATTGTTGACGTGCAATATTGTCAAATTTAGTGAAATGAGCTGCATTTCTGCATTAATAACAAGACGACAATAATGGCAAAGCATACTTGCTTTCTTTTATATTCGTACAATTTAAAGATGATCATTTTGGCCTATTTTGCGTCGTTTCACGTGAAGTTCCTTGGTAAATAATTTGTGAACGTGTCTCTAAAACGTGTTTATTTGACGTGTTTTATAATTTTGTTTGCATAGAAATATTTTATTGTGTGCCTGTGTTAAACCTTTCATAAAATACGTAGAAAAAAATTATTATTACGTGTATGCTTTGGTGTGAAATTGGCAGCAGTGCAAAGTACACATCGCGATACTGTTAGCGCAAACACGACATCGGCGGATTTTCGCATTTTACATCTAAATAGTATTAGCGAGCATTACATTTTATCGCTTAAATTATAGAAGTAAATGAGCTCTTTCCGTAGCAATAATAACTTGGATGACAGAGAAAAACTGGAAAAACCGGCGATCGCTTGTTCGCGCTAACAGTGTCGCGCTCTGTACCATAGCGAAACCTTAACAATCTCTACGCCTCGAGCTTCGAAATTTGATATCTCGGGAAGAAAATGAGCTACGGCGTTCGCATATATCCGAATGCTTCTGCCAAGAAAATGGCGTTAACGTATTTTTTTTTTACATCAGTATAAAAAATTATGACCCGGACCATCATTGCACAATCTGACGTGGAAACACCCTGCAGCATACTTTTCGCACCACCAAATGTTTCCCCGCGTCAAGGACAAGACCACGAGCATGGTGGGGTGACATCATGTGAAAGCCACCTATGTATATATATATATATATATATATATATATGTATATTACCTCTATCCATCTCTTTCACTATCTGCCTATCTCTCTCATCTTCATACGCCCTTCTTTATCTGCCTCGTCCTACCGTTGGGCCTTGAAGACAGCTCCGATACGCTGCCATGCAAGCAAACACGCAACCCACCATCCAACTGCAGAAAAAAAGGGCAATTGAACACTATATGCAGTTCTTATCAGGACCTGTCAATGGATTTTTTTCTTACAGGTTTACGGTACAACTAACCACGACATACCATATCAGGACATCCGATGCTCACACGTTCCCCGCTTTTCGCACCTTCTGAGGAAGCGACACCGCGTGATAGTTGGCGGAAGAGCGTCGAAGCATCAATTAATTATTTCAGTTTGTTTGTTCCCGATGCAGATCCTGATCCAAGTGTCGGGAATCGTCATCTTGACCCTTCTCGTGAACGCCACCACCACCAACTTCCTCCTAAGGATATTGGGTGAGGCCCCGAAGTATACACATCCCTAAACGAAAATACATTTTGTCCAAAGTCTCGGTCACACCAGTCACACTGCTAATGCACCATATACAAAAGACAGTCTGCATGACACTGTCTGAGGAATATTTCTTCCTTGTATGACGGTCAGACTGGTCATGCAAAGGTTAGCTGTCTGAACACATGTTTGAAGCATACATATGTAGGAGAAAACGTGCGTAGAACACGTGTGAGAGGTGTCTGAATATAATCTTGTCATAGTGCCTGCAGCGAACACTATATATATGTATATGTTTGTATGGTGCGTGAGCGTCTGTGAGTGCGACTTTGGGGCCGAACAAGGAAATCATAATCTTATCTCGGACAAAAAGCCAACAGATAAACTCGGACTAAATGCAACGAAGGGAGTTGTCCGGTTCCTCAAGTTGTCGCACGACAGCAGGAACAACACGAAAAGCAAGTGGAGTCATTCGATCTGGTGCCACGAAGAGGTCTCTCGCCCATCCTCTCCTGGGGAGTACTTGTACACTCTAAAACAAAAAAGCGGTATCACCTTACACCCTTTTGTCCCATATAATACACCCAAAAACTTCAGTTCCACATACAGCGCCCTATAGTCGAACAGACGGCCCCAAATTTTACGAGGGGCTTGATAACGGTGCGATATAAGTTTTTAAACAACTAAGCTACGTATCAAAGACCACATAAAGAAAACACCGAGGTTTTGCAATAGGGCCAAGAAAACCCCGATTATATTTTTGTAGTCAGTAGAACGTACATTAGCTATTTTAATAAGTTGTACCACACGGCTATCAAGCGCCTCGTAAAATTTGGGGCCGTCTGTTCGACAATAGGGCGCTGTACGTCGAATCGAAGTTTTGGGGTGTATTATATGGGACAAAGGGTGTAAAAATACACCCTTTTTTTTTTCTGAGAGTGTAGCGCGCTTTCGGGAGTCCCTACTTGCGCACTGCACCTCAACGCACCAAACAACAGTCTATTCTTGCGTACTATTCTACGATGGCCATGCGGTCTCAGTGGCGAAAGAGGTGGACGCCTCTGTTGCCACTGGGGCTGCATGACTATAGGGACCTCAAAACCTCTTGTCCTTCTCTCGCTCGTGAATCTATAGAAGTCAAAGGACTGACTGGTGGATGAGAGTATATGGTTCATGGGCTGGCTAGGTAACAGAAAACATAATAGAAGCCATGGAGATAAAGAAATGTGAATACAATAAGCCCCGCACTTCAGAAATGTAGGAGCAGGACACAGAGTTGGGCCCGGGTGTTGCGTCAGCCTTCGGCCAGGACTCGTGCAGCGAGAACACGGGTCCCTGCCGACCGCTGACGCCGCACTCCTGCGTATGACCCACTGACACCCGCTTCTATAACGCATGGACGGCAGGCATGAATGCCCTGTCCCCCTGGAAGCGGTCCAACATGGCCAACGCCGTGCGGCACCTGCGCGAGGTGCAGAAGCGGGCCCTGCAGGTGCACCAGGAGGACGTGTTCCTCACCGACGCCGACTGGAAGTACGTGGACAACTACACCGCCATCGGGAATCCCTACGACCCCAAGGACGCGGACCACCCGGAGGTGCGTTCGTTGTGCACAACCACGAGCCAACCGCGGGCCCGATAGCGCAGTGCACGCGTATGTGCGAGTGTGGGAGAGATATTTATGACGCCCACATATTTTAGATGAGTCTCACGACCAGGGCCGTACCCAGAAAAAAATTTCGGGGGGGGGGGGGGGGGGGGGGGGGGGGGGTTTCGGGGACAACGGCGGCCATTTTGAAAGTGTCTATTGTCTTATTTTCGCCTATGAATCATGTGCATCGGTGGCATATAATGGAGAGTTACAGCAAACCGGAGAACTGGTCCCGGTTTGGTACCCGGTAGCCGACCGGCGCCACTGCGCGTGCGCAGAGGTGGAGATTAAAATCGGCTGGCTGCCAGTGCACCGACCAGGGCCGTACCCAGAAAAAAATTTCGGGGGGGAATCAGAACCCCCTAACCCCCCCCCTGGTTACGGCCCTGCTCACGACGGAATATTAGCTCCGAGTGCGTTTCTTGGTATTTTTTTAGTCGCGCAGCTTTTGAAATGAGCTTACCTATTCTAAAGCGTGTCAACTCTCCAACGTCATGCCACTGCGCTGCTGTCGGCACCACGCATGCGCAAACGCTTCTGCCCACACCTGGTGCGGTCAAACATGGTGTTCTTGGTAAACGGCGTGATTATCTATAGAGCACACTAGAGCGCACTCGTGCGCTTCGACGACGCGCACGTGTGAACGCGACACCGCGTCTCGCAGCAGCAGCCGCCCGAGGAGAACGGGGACGTGCCCAACGGCGCCCTGCCGGCGTACATGTTCCGCAAGCTGAGCCACATGTCCCTGTGCCCGGACTGCTCGGAGCACCACCTGTGCCAGCCCTCGCAGCAGGAGAAGGACGAGATGCTCAATGAGGCACGCATCCGCATGATCTCCGCCCAGAAGGTGCGTACAACACTGCTTTTCGATCCGAGGAGGACACCTACGCTTGGTCTCCGCGCGGAAGGCGTACCAGGACACGACAGTCTTCGAGGTTCCTGCCAGCACGGCAGGGCCCAGCTAGGCAAAGGGAGCAGGTTCTGCGCAGTTTTAATCACTGAAAGTGAAATGCACTCTCAGAAATCTCCGAGTACATTTTCTTCGCAGCGATGCACCTAGACCACCAATCACCTAGAAGGACGAGCAGTATCATGCTTCCAATAGCCATACAAACACAGTGTCAAAAAGGCATCCACCTTTTTTACCTGTCCGCGAGGCCACTGGAGAATCGTGTCAGTCACCGTTCTCTCGTCGCCGCTCAAGCCGGAAACGGGCACCTAAGAGCTGCGCTCTAAAAATAGTGGGTAGAGCTCAAGGCATGTAGCAATCAGGTCTGCCCACTATCCTTTCAAAGCCAATCAGAGCTCGGCATCAGTCTGACGTCACCGGAACTCCTGCGCAAGAAGCAGACGACTTGCTCTCCGGATGGAGTCTGTATGGACTCCATAGGGTGTCTTAGTATACACGTTTGCAAGTCCGGCTTCAGGGCGCTGCCATCTTGCTTGGCTGGGGTGCGCTTGGACGAGGCATAATCCTATTACGAAGCCTTGCTAAGGCGTCGTAATCGGATTATGGCCGCGCCCAAGAGCGCACCCCACTGAGGAAGATGGCGGCGCCCTAAGACCGGACTTGCAAACGTGTATAGATAGGGTATAGGATGACCTTACATCGGTCGCTAGAATAGGACCTCCATAAACGTCCGTTGGCCAATATTCTATAGGACGACCATAAGATGACTTCAGGAAGGCAACAGTAATCGTGGACTGCCTATAGATGCCTTATGTTCTTCCTAAGGATGCTGTTCTATAAAACGTCCTAGGAGTGTCCATAAATAATCTTGCAAGGGCGCGCGGTCTTAGGACGCCGCCATCATGCGCAGTTGGGGTGCGCTTGGACGCGGCCATAATCCGATTACGACGTCTTAGCAAGGCGTCGTAATCAGATTATGACGCATCCAAACGCACCCCAACAATGGCACCGCCCTGAAGCCGGACTTGCGAATGTGTAATTTCCTCCCAATAAAGAAAACAGGCTCTACTAAGTAGGTCCTAAAAGAAACTCTAATCGCGTTAACGAACGCCAACATTGCGTAAAAATTTTAACCGAAGAGAAAAAAAAAAAGGTGTCGAAATTGCTGCTGTCGCTACGCTGGTGCTCGATGAAATGCGTTTGCATTTAGCGGCGGGGTTTCGACCCGACGAAGGATGGGAATTCATACCTCGCAACGGTCCACATAATGTTGTGTTCGGGGAGCCAGTCTGTTCTCCCGGGCGTCGGTAGTTTCGGATGCAACCGCGACAGCTTCCACCCGCGGCGCGTCATTGGAAGCGTTCCAGAAAACTCTTTCCATCTTGTAAGACGGGAAAAGGACGTAACCAGCAAACGAACGGAGCGAAAGAGCACGGAAGGAACCGGGCATCGCGCCACCAAGACCCCACAAAATCAGTTCACTACAGTCCAGTATAAACCAAACCACGACTGTCCAAGCGAAAGACGGCTGCATGCACCTGGGCAACAAATGCCAACACATTTAAAATCACAAAACTTGGTGGGGCTACCAAAGGAACAATAGAATCGTTCCAGGGCTTTCTTTACTTCAACCTCGTCTAGTTCATGTTTAAGCCAGAGAAACCCTATACATGCAACTCGCTTCTCTACAGGTACACTACTGGCGACAGTTCGAGAGCGGTCTGCTGCTTCGGGAAAGTGCGTCGGTTCTGAACTCTGCTGCTGATGCTGTTGCTGACAAAGCGGGAACGTGAGTATATATCCCTGCAGCCTCTTTATATTCCCTTAATCCCCAGGAGAACGGCTCAGAAGTGCAGTTAGGTATTTCGCTATACGAAACTCAGTCTTCGGCAGTTTCCACGTGAAAAGTTGGCGACCACTTTTATGACATCAAGTGGCTCCATCTTTAATCGCGGCTTTCTCTGTGCCTTTCTGTCTTTTCCGAACTCCTCTGAAAGAAAGAAAAGTCGCACCACACTTAACTCTTCCCATTTTTGTACCCCAGGTTCATAACCGTGGCAGAGTTGCGCAAGAACTGGGAGATCAACCGAGTCTACAAGTGGCTGGTGAGTGTGCGGTCTTCTCCCCAAGCATCTATGCCATGGGCAGATGCTCTTGTTTACATCATATGGGCGGCTGTAGCAAATATAGTTCTTGGAAAAATCGGCCACCGAGAATGCCATATGGTATTCCCGTACTTGATACAAGAGCTGTGGGTGGTATACCATGACGCCCCCCTTGGAAAGTTGGCTAGCGTAAGTATTCATGGACGTAGAGTGTGTTAGTGCAAGACTGAATAAACATGAGGTTGTGTCGTCTTCGTCCTACATGTTTATTTTTTCTTCAGCCTTGACTCGTAAGAATTCGCCCTCAAAATTAGCATGCATCCGTGCCACAAATGGGGTACATCACTCACTGCCAATGATTAGTCGTTTCGTAAGAACTGGATGTACAGTTTATTCTATCCCATCTTGTTTGACGTCTAAAGCAGATGTGCAGAGTATCCCTGTGACAAATTTCTCACCGCAATATATGAAGAAACGTATCATGAAAACTTGCAGCTGGGTTCAAGGCTACTGGTCCTGGACCAGCTGAAACCAAGCCCCAAGGAGACAGTCACCGCAATGTAGAGAACGCGTCCATCTAATGAAAAGGCTCAGACAGCGAGGAATAACATTTCGCTTGCTGATTGTTCGCAAACGTGATCAGTTCTTTCAAACAAACCGTTTTTTCGCACCTCCTAAATGTCCCTGTGTGCTACGCGTAGATGTCAGCGATTGGCCACCAGCGTTCTGTGGTGCCCATCTAGATATTTTCATTTTTTTTCAAAGCAAGGACGAAATGCTTAGTTTCACACTATGCATTGATTAAATAATCTCTGTAGTCAACGGAGTGGATCTAGACGCTGTAACGTTTTAAAGATGCGATTTTGTTCTGGTATGTGCGTTTTTCTAGGTGTACGATTCTTTACTTAACTTTAGTTTTTTCTAGTGTGTATGTTTTGAAGGGCGAGTTTTTTTTTTCTTTTTTTAAATCTGTAGTTTTATAGGTTTAACCAAGCTGAAGTTTATGTCCTCGTCCTCAAGGTTTCTCCTCGTGGTCGTGTCCTCAAGGTTACACAACGCCCGTGGCTGAAGCGTAAGCGCCGGTCGCGAGCGAGTGGGAGAACAAAAAGAGAGAGAGAGAGAGACCAACGACGCTTAAAGGCCTACGCACAGCCTCGGTTTCCTGCAGGGATGATAGTCCTCTTAGCGCTGCCCTCTCCTAAGGTGCGAGGTGAGTCAAGCTGGGGTAAGATAAAAAAAGTGGAGAGGATATAGGAAAGGAGGAGGCGGGCAAACGTGGAAAGCGCGAAGTGTAGGTCGGCCTTTGAGGTCGCGTCATGAAGGTCACGTAATGCCCGTAGATGTAATGAAGCATAAGCTCCGGTCGTGTGAGCTCCGTTCGCGCAACCGCCGGTCGCGTAAGCACCGGTAAATGAAGCGTGACCTGACGTCCTTGGAATCCGTCACGTCAGGTAACCGACGTCCAAATAAGTATGGCACCATCCGAAGCATGACCGGTGCGTGAGGCCAGAGCAAAGCATACAAACCAAATTTATTTTAAAGCGGTAGCGTTATTAAAGGCCCAACCATGCTCAAGGTCATCTTCTCGCCCTCAAGGTCATGTCCTCATGGTCTTGACCTCAAAGTCGCGCAACCAATGTCACGTAATGCCCGTGGCTGAAGTGTAAGGTCACGTAATCAAGGTCACGTATGCGCCAGTTACATAAGCTCCGTTCGCGTAAGCGCCGGTCACGTAAGCTCGTAAGCGTCGTTAGCTTAGGCTGACGTGACCTGACGTCCTTGACGTCGTCCTAGAGGTCATTTTAGAGGTCGTCCTCTAGGACGTCATGCTCGACGTCGCCCTAGACGGCGTCCTAGGGGTCCCTTTTGACGTCGTTCTAGAGGTCCGGCTCGACGCCGTCCTTGACACTGTCCTAGATGGTCACTCCAGGCGACGTCTTAGACGCCGTCCTTGACAACGTCTTTGATGACTGCATATTACAACCATTTCATCATCATACCATTTCCTTTCCTAATTGTTTTCACTAACGACGTTTCGTCAAATAAATGTGTGTTGGTTTTTTTTTTGTCTGTATTTTTGCTATTTACTGCTGACCATTGTAGGGACCAGGGGGCTTGTCAAGCTGTACACTAAAGCTTTTTTTACTTAGGTCCGCCGTCGTAATCGATGGAGAGTTAGGTGATCCTTAATACTGCTATCCTTTCTCCCTTGCAGCAAGACCACTTGGTGGAGCCCGTGACGGAGAAGAACAACTACACCAAGTCCCGCTGGCAGAAGAAGATGCCCGAGCAGCGCTGGCGCAAGCCCTTCTACTCGGCCACGCACCACACCGCCTTCAACTTCGTGCTCAGCCTGCTCCTCGTCGCCGACGTGGCCTGCACCGTGGCCGAGCTGGTGCTCCGACTGGGCGAGTGCGGGCGCTGCTACGCTACCACCGTGTTACGCTGGACCAACCTGGGCTTCGTCACCTTCTACTTCTTCGAGCTCGTCTTCAAGGTGAGAACACATGGCGTCTTCCTAGACGTGAAACAGGTCTGTTGGCGAGGGCAAGGAGCAAAGGCATTACGACCAAGAGGTTAAAGGCCGACGACCAGTTCGCGCTTTCCATTTTCCCTCGCTTCCTTCTCTCCCTCCTTTTACCCTGTCCACCGTTGCCTGCTTCCTCCTCCCTTAGGGTGAGGAGGATGCTCTGCCTTGCAGAATCTCGAGTCTGGTCGTCGGCCTTTAAGACGCTTCCCCTTCCCTCTGCTACGCCATCCGACGAAGACGCCACTACTGCACATGCACGCCGCTAGCCCTGTCTGCGGAGCTCTAGAATGCGTAGAGGGCTGCGGCTAGCGTGGCGAGAGGGCGGAAATGATCTACGAAAACTTGCTGACAATAGGGTTTTTTCGTAGATTCCACTGCCGAAATATGTTTACTCCAGCAGGTTTGTATTCCCACGTTACTTGGCAGCCCTGCGGGAAAGCCGACGTGCTGAAAGCTTCGCATAAGCCTAGATTATTTTACAACGAGAGGATATGTTGTGCGTTAACTAAAGCGCGAAGAACATGCGCCAATCTTCTGTTTTTATTTTTTAATCATTTTTAATAAAAGGAGCAAAGTTGCCCATCTACCGATTGCCTTTAAAGAGTTCAAAGTCCTTCAAACGGGTACTCTGGCATTTTCTTCATGGTCCCCGATTTCTTTCAAAATTTTAACCAAAAACAAACAAACATCGCTGAGCTAGTAACCCAAACATTAGGTCCAAATACTTTGGTTGTGAAGTTATTGCATTTACAATTTCGGTCATTACCGTTTTATTTTATTTTTTTACTGGAAGCTTTTTCTGGCTACCGTAAGAAGTGATGACTGTGGCAGCTTTGGACAGTAGAATTTGTTTCCATTTACAAGAAGTTTGATGGTGTCAAATATATGCGTCGGAAGCTTGCATCAGAATCCGCGTAGGAGAACGAAACAAATGCCCGGTATACTCCGTTTTCTAGACTGTCCGCTCCACCAGCAAGCCTGCCTGCCAGTGACGTCACAGCACTGAAAAGCGCGGGCACATTTGAACGTTCGTTTGGGCATCACCTTCATTTGCCAATTTCAAAATAAATACTTCGAACTTTGCGATACCAAATAGCATGCTCGAAAGGGTTAAGACCGGGGATCCTTACACCCTTTGTCTTATTAAGTGCACCCCAAAACTTCAGTTCGATGCACAGTGCACCAACGTCGAACTGACAGACAAAACTTTTACGAGGGCTTGATGACGGTGCAAAATAACATATTAAGCAGCTAAAAGTGTAAATCAAAGATTACAGAGAAAAATCCACTGAGGTTTTCTAGTAGCTAGAAAACCCCGATTACTTTCTTTTTTTTTTTTTTTTCAGTCAACCACAGATACCTTTGCTATTTCAATAAGTTGTACAACACGGCTATCAAGCCGCTCGTGAAAGTTGGTACCGGCGGTTCAACGTCAGCGCGCTGTACATCCATCATAAATTTTGGGGTGCATTTCATGTGACAAGAGGGCGTAACAATATTTTTTTTTCTTAGAGTGTATTCCCTCCATTCCCTAGTGAAAAGAGTCATTTGTATGAGAAATTTCTCGTGTCCAATAAACACATATGAATCATACAAGATATATAAGAACATATAAGAACTATAAAATAACTATATGAGAACTATATAAGAATAATATAAGATATACAAGAACCATATAAGAAACCTATAAGAGACTTCTTACAAGTTTTTTTTTATATGGTACTTGTATGTTCTTGTATATCTTATATAGTTCTGATATAGTTCTTGTATAGTTCTTATATGGTTCTTATATGTTCTTATATATCTTGCATGATTCATATGTGTTTATTGGACACAGAAATGTCTCATACAAATGAGAATTTTCAATAAGGTTTCTGTTGCCTTGTCCACTCTGTGCGCTACGCGAAATCCGAGTTCTGCCAGAATCCAGTTCTGCATTAAAAGAAACACACCATGCAACACTAAAAAAAAAAAAAAATCGACTGAAAACTTTTTTGTTTTTTAGACAGTCCGCACTCGGCGCATAGTCCGCACCCTGTGCATGGTCCGCACCTAAAAAATATTCCGCACGTAAGAAAAAACAATATTAATTGCCCACCTCATTACCGTACAAACTTATTATTAGCATAATCTGCCATTCACAAAATCCATCACGTCTAGCTCTAATGAACGATCATGAAAAGACAAATCCAAGAATAGTCTGGACATGCTCCGAACATGGCTGTAGACAGTTTTTGTATGACCCACGTGACAGTCATACAAGGAATGCCTCAGAGACTGTCTGCAGGCTGTCTTTGGCACGATGCATCATCACTGTGACCACAGCTTGAAACGTGTATAGTCCGTGGACTATGGTCCGAAAAATATGCCGATAGCTGCGCGTGATCTTTGAAAACGTTGTCCTCTTGCAAGGCCACATTCATTCCGAGCGTTGCTTTCGACCCCTGGCATGCAGCTCTTGGGCCGTGGCCTGCGTGCCCACTTCCACAGCTACTGGAACGTGCTGGACTTCGTGGTGCTGTGGGTGTCCATCGCGTCGGCGGCCATCGAGATCGAGATGGAGCTGTCCGACTCCTGGTACTCGGAGTACATCGTGCTGCTCCGCCTCTGCAGGCTCTTCAGGCTCATGCACTTCAAGAGACTGCTCAGGCTCTTCCTGGTATGTGGACGCGGATTGCTACACCCGCCCTCGGCGACTGCTCTTAGAAATAGAAATGTTGGGTTTCTTTTATAGAACAAATTGAGTTTTCCATCTGCTAGTAGGCTGGTGTTCAATTTTTACAGCATTTTTGCATAAGCGTTTTTTTTTTTTTTAGTTGAATATTGCATGTGCAAAGTGTTCGAGTACGCTGAAACCACGAAACCTTAGCTTCATCTGAGATGGAGACAAAATTGTAACATATGATATCGGTCGCGCTCGGCAAGGGCAATTAACAGGCGACAAACATGTCACCTCACCGTTTCATCCCATATAATTGTACACTCTTTTGGGTGTTAAAAAGGTATGTCAAGAAGTTTGACCCATCGCTGCTTTTAACACTCCTTGTTCGCGTAGTATGCCATTGATAATTATCAGGTAACGTCAAGCCGTAATAAGGGTGCGGTGCAGTTAAGTGACACTACACGCGCCTGAAACCGCTTGAGCGCAGGTTGTTTGTAGTGAATGTCTTATAATCTGACCTGTGCACATTTAGAATGAATATGTGGTACATGAACCCGTACAAATTATATTTCGAAAGAAATATAAGAAAAAAAAGGCAACGTATTTGTAAAATTAGTAATTCTTTTTATGCGATTTCTTTACATAAAAAAGAAACTATGGCAAGCTTTGCATGTGCACACTGTATGTATACGTGAGGAGAGCACCTGGATAAACCACATAATGCTCTAGAACTATTTTATATTTTTGTGAGTTTGCCATAAGAGTGTTGCCTAACACCCTTATGCTGCATTCACACTGGCATTCAAATCGCAATCAAGTGGATCCGCTCGTTTTCCTCATCAAATGCGCGATTGCGGCTCAACAACCAACGACCATGTTGAGGCGTTAGGGTGTCGGTTTTTGAACAAACCAAAAAGCACCCTAAGGTTCACCGTGTTCCCTTGTCCTAAATGTTCCGCACGCACCAGTACAGCACATTCATAATGTTTTTGTGAGCTTGTGTGGCAAGGAACCATGCACAGTAAATTCATTATATTAGATATTAGAATGTGCTTGCTCAGAAACTAATCAGTCTTCAAGAAAAAATTGTAGAGCCCTTCCACTTCATGTGAAGATGGTGGACTAGTGAAGCTGTCATCTTTACGACGTCTAGGACGATGCCTAGAGGACGACGTGTAGAACAACCTCAAGGACAACTTCTAGGACGATATCGAGGACGACGCCTAGAGGACGACATCTATGACGACTTTAAGGACGACTTCTAGGATGACCTCGAGGACGATGCCTAGAGATGATAAGAAGGGATCAGGACCTCACTATCTAATTATGCCGAGGAAGGCTGACTCACGCTGGTTGCCCCCCTTTTTATTTTTATTTATTCATAAACTTGCCACAACCAAAGGGGAGTTTTCTGTCAACATACGCGGACAGATTTTTTCCCAGATCCTAGCACATAACAGCTTTGCTATAAAAAGAGTTCTTGTTTCAAGCCTCTTTTTAATGCAAACATTTTTTGCTGCAGCCAGTGGGCACCAAGGTGGCAGACGTGGTAAACCACCGGGTGAACGAGCAGCTGACGGCTGGCTACGACATCGGCCGGGGCTTCATGATGGGCCAGTACGAGGTGGGAAAGTTCCTGGATCAGATGGTCGACTACCAGCCAATCGCGGATCGGCTCAAGAAGATCTGCGGCGACAGCAGGCTCGAGGTGGGTTTACTGCCCCCCCCCCCCCTTCCCTTCCCTTCCCTTCCCTTCCCTTCCCCCCCCCCCCCCCCCCCCCACCACCACGAGCTCTCTACAATAAAGGCAAGCCCATAATTGAGTTCAGGTAAAGCTTACTTTAAAGGTACAACAATCATTTTATACATTGATGTCCCACTTGAACCTTAACTGCAGGCCTCTCAAGATAGTGGAAATGGGCATAATCTTTGTATCTTAAGTAGCACGTTCAGCGACAAAGTTTGATAACATGCTAAAAACCGCCATGACACAGACACCGTGTATATTTTTTCTGCGATGTCACGAAGGCCCATCTGTGACTGAAAAGACCACGAGACAAGTTCAGACTCCTTTGACGGATAGCCTTCGATTCCCCTTGGCAGATCCTTCGCGAGCTTGCGGCCCTCCAGGACAAGTACCCCAAGGTGGCGGTGGCGGTGAAGACTCGACGGGCGGTGAGACACGTGCTCAACTCGACCAGGGACGAGCTCATAGAGCTGAAGGAAGCCGGCATGCTGGACGACGGCGTCTTCCACTCCCTCCTCCAGGCGAGTCCACTGTATTTCTATGTCTTTAATTGCGTTGCACGTATGCATTAAATTAGACAGTGGGAAGTGAGTCAGCCCCAGTGGATATCTGGTGTCTCCACTGCAGATGAGGAATTTGGCTAGTGCAGTACCACGCAGTAGGGATACACTACTGCACATATGTACCGATTTTTATGGGAATTTTCTGCGATACCGCAGTAGTTGCCGATTCATTGAACCTCAGTGAAAGCTTTAAAAACGATACTTTTTTTTTGCACCTGTAACATTTGTGTTAAAACAGTTTTGCTGAACTTTTTTTTTTAAAATTTTGGCATGGCCTGGGTGCCTGAATCATCGCAGGAATATTTGCTCCTGCCTTTCCCGCAGCTTAAACTAATATTGGGAGTCCTGTTTCTCATTCACTGAAAGAATTATACGCGCTTCGTTTGTCCTGTGCTGCATTCTTCAATGGTTTCCTTTTACCTCGGAGTTGTCAGCAACATTTCCAATATTTTATCAAAAATTAAGTGCCCCCCCCCCCCCCCCCCCCCCACCCCTCCCCCATTTCCCGCTCACAAACAAAATCGTTCCATCCTGCCTGCTTAACTGCATGGCTCGAGTATGCTGCGGAAAAGCCAACCCCCTGAAAGACACCTGCTCATAATGAATATTATTAAGAACAGGAATATGAAATATGCTGCTTACTCGAACACTTTACTTTTTTTTTTCTGCCTCGGTTTCTTTTTAAATTTGTATGAATTAAAAAAAAAAAAAAAGCTTTCAGCCTTTTTTACTTTGGTGAAGAAGGAAGAGCAGCAGAGCTGGTACTACATGCCGCCATCTATGAGTGACGGCGGCAACTAGACAACCGACAAGCCGGTTGTCTGGTTGCCACCGTCGATCATAAAAGGCGGTAGCTGTCCGGAGGGTTCTGTCGACATTTGTTTTGGTACCGGACACGAAACTGGGGAAACTAGCCCTCAACAGCTCCACTGCAAAACTTCATATGTGCTTTGTTTATTCACAAACTGCAGGGAAAGTAACTTTTTTTTTTTTTTTTTTTTTTTTTTTCAGGAGATTGAGGAGAAGATGATGCGTCTCCACTCGGCGCCGACGAGCATCGTACCCGCTCCTCCGACCGAGCTGCTCAAGAACGTCAACTGGATCAAGGGCAACGAGGAACTCTTCAACTACTTCCAGGTACGGCCTTCTCGTCTTTTCAGTCTACCTTTATGTGGACAGCATCAAACCGTTTTTCTTTAAGAAAACTTTTTTTTTTGTTTTTTAATATTATTCTAATAATCGTCTACTGCTGTAAAGCGATACACTATCGACGGCATAGTTTGTCAGGCACATTTCCCCACCCCTTGTGTAATGCCAGTACGGGTCCTCAAAGGTCAAGAAATTATGATTTTGATGCCCTTTACAGAGGTATGAATTGTATACGGCATCCAAGTTTGTCTGCTCCTTGCACACCTTATGCGTTTTGTTTACCCCCCAAACGTGCCTTTGTTTTCCCCCGATCACAAACATGGACGCCGGACGCTGGGCTGCTTCGTCATCGTTAGTTCCACAAGCGCTCTCCATGTCGTCCTTCGATTGGTGTGCCCCTTCTTGCATTCCGATGCGCCAAAGACGAGTTTTTTGGAACACTTGCTCGCCGTATAGTCACTCCAAAGACCACAGTTGTGAGAAAAAAGGTGGTTGGCCAGCGAAGCTGTGGTATCACGTGCAACGACTGCCCACTGCACTATACCAAATGATTGACGAAAGAAAAGTAAATGCACTGTACCGAAACTTTTCCAAGTCAGCCAGCCAATCCAAGTCAGCCAACCATCGAGCATGGGTCATATATTAATCTAAGGTTAGCTGAGAATATCTCTACAGTGAGAATGTAAAACTTCACAGCCCACTGCAGGTGATACCACAGCTTCGCTGGCCAACCACCTCCACACCGTGGATTGAAGCCTCAACTTATTTTTCTTCTATGTTTATTCTGCGCAAAACGGAGCAAGTTTTGTGCTCTTAGCACATTGCTGCGCAGAGGCCCCAAAATCAATTCCTGAAGGCCAAACAACTTTTTTTTTTCTACTTCAAAATTTATGGAATGGTTTTCTGTCGACTACTGTTCTGTCGATGGACATGAAGAAATCCGACCGAGTCATATACAACTTCGCTGTAATAAGAATGATGAGCTTGATGTGTCTTCGGAAATTAAAAACAGCGCGGAAAGACGAGGACCAGACAAAGAAGTGACACGGACGTAGCGCTGACTTACAACTGAGTTTATTGAACGCAAACTCGCAATATTTATTTGCGGTGTCACGAACAAAACATAAAAAATTCAGCCCATGTATCATTTTTTATGTTTTTTTTTTTATGTTCTTTTGTTCGTGACACCGCAAATAAATATTGCGAGTTTGCGTTCAATAAACTCAGTTGTAAGTCAGCGCTACGTCCGTGTCACTTCTTTGTCTGGTCCTCGTCTTTCCGCGCTGTTTTTAATTTCCGAAGTATGTACCAACTCGCCCAAGCCTCAACTTTAGCTTGATGTGTCAAACAAACAAAACATCTTAGCCGTCTAGTTTGACATGAAGAGCTTGCAGAGTACCAGTAGAAATGCCCAGATAACGCAATACAATGCGACATAAGACTTAAATAAATGGTTGTTGCAAGAAACAAGTGTAGTGTCCACACTTGTGCACGTGGAAACCTAACAGCTTGCTTTTCCGTTTTGCAGGAGAAGGTGATCTTGCAGAGCTACCCATCGGGCTGGAGCCTGGGCAAGGAAGGCGAAGAGCCAAATGGAATCTACGTCATCGTCTGCGGTGTTGTCAAGGTACCTCAGTGTACGCTTTGGGAATGAGTCAGCTGTAAAGATGTGGCTCAGTGTATCACTTCAGGAGGAATGCAGGGCAGCCGGAATATTTGTCTTGCATTGCACACCCCCTCCGATTCACAAAAATGGGTTCTAACGTTTTTGTTCTATTCGCATAATTCTACGAATAATCTTTTTTCATTCCCCTGATATCATGTCTTATCTGCTCCCACATGTTTGCATTTTTAGTTGCCGTCACGTCTTTCCAAGAGGACAAAGATTTGGATTGACATATTTTAAGGGTCTGTTTATGTTCTTAGGCTGCAGCAGCATGGACCACAACTTGAAAGCACTTAATTCGACTTGCAGTTATTTAATTATGTTTATTTATTGAAATTCCACCGAATCTCTAAAAAAGCCTTAAAAAACACTTTAAAATCGCCTTTATTTGATGGAAGCTGAACTTCTTTTTGAGGCACAGATCACAAGGAGGCCATTGTTTTCAGAGTAGATGAGAATAAATTGATTGATCGACTAGGTGATTTATCGATCAAAATCCATTAGTGCAACTCACCCTACTAACCAATCATTAATGACCAATCATCAACAATAAATTGACGTAGAAGTAAATGTGGCAGTTTTGTCACATGCCAGAAATGCAAGAGAGCCAGGGGCTTGCAGCACCTTGCATGGGGTGAATTTTTCAAAAATAATCCGTGGATTGCTAAGTATCATTTACTGACAATAAATAAATGACTACTAGGTCTATTAAATAATGATCGTCACTCAGCCCATCAAAAGCACTCATGCTACTACAGGAACATTTTAGCTCGTGCCACTTGAACTGAAGCTTTCTTTGTTCAGATCGAAGGTGGTGCACTGTGGCCTACGTTGCTGCTGCGCCAAAAAACCCCAAATTCAATTCAATTCAGATCGAAGGCACGGTGACCGAGAAAGACGGCGGCAGCCTGCCCAACACGGACTCGTACCACTGGTTCATGAGCCAGGGCCACCTCCAAGACCTGCTCACCGTGGGAGCAGTCCTGGGTGAACTCGGGGTGCTCACCAAGAAGTCCCGTCAGACGAGGGCCACGTGCGAGACTGACGTCAGGGTGAGGACACCGCCGCCAAAGTCTCGAAAGGCGAGACTGCCGTCGGAGGCTCTTGTCTCGAGGAGCCTCATTACCGTCGAATACGCTGCCTAGAGCGCATCTCCGACTCGTGTGCACGTGTTTAGCGTTTCAACACCGCCCATGCATCGAAAGGGCTCCCGAAGTGTCAACAAATGACGCACAAAAGCCAGAGTGTGGTGTCACACTGTCGGATGTTGAGATCCTGCTGGATGGTCATAGAAGTTGTGGCAAAAAGCAGTAGCGAAGGGGGTGGACATCGCTGACGCTGCAGCAGATCGGGCATCTGCCGCACGCACCACCGCTGCTGTGACAGCGTGACACTTCTATAACGCCGTTGGGTGGAAATCGAGGGACTACTTTGACCAACCACCAGGATTATGCGGTAAACGCACCAGTTGGAGATGCATTCCAGGCACCATACCGTCAAAAGACTTAGCGAAACACGAGGAATTAAGCAACATCTTTTAGCGATTCTATAGTCACCGACGAGGCTCCAAGAGTTCTCTTCTACAGTTTTCTTCCCTTTATTGTCGCATCATTTCCCTAGGAACCTGTCCCTCAATCTTACATCTCGACTTTCTTTTCATCAGCGACTCCTCTCTACACTGATGTAGCTAGGGGGGCTTTGGTGTTGCAACCCTCCCCCCCCCTATGTACAACTCCATAACCACCTAAAAAAAAATATTCTGGCTATGTTGTTGTCTTTAAGCACCACCTCGACAAAGTCGGTGCGTTACCATTTAGGCATACGGCTGTTGATAGACGCGTCAAATAAATAAATCTAATCTGTTGTGAGTGGCGTTTCTTAGAAGTGGTTCCCACTCCAGATGCACTGACTGTCGCTGCTCGTACCTTTACAGGCCTTCCATGTGCCTCAGAGCGTGATGCTGGAGGCGATTCAGCGCTTCAGCCGACACCCGTCTCTAGAATACCGCCTCTGGCGAAGCTGCGCTCTCAAGGTGGCAAGAAGCGTACTGAGCGTCGAGCCAAAATACGAGGTGAGTGCCACTGTTTGGCTGGGGACCATCGGGGAGGCTGGTTTGTACAGGGACATTGTTTAAGGCGTGCTCACCGCTCCTACCTTATACAAAAGACAGTGCTCGCTGCAGACACAATGACAAAAGTGTCTGTGGACATGCCTTGAACATGTTCTAAGCATGTTCACTTCATACGTGTGTAAGCTTAAACAATGTATGCAATAAAAGAAAGAAACATGCCTCAGACAGTCTTTTGTATGATGTGTTAGCGGTGCAGCTGTGGCTTGAGGCTTTCTGGCAAGCTATACGGTTATTTGCAAGTAGAGGTCAGCCCGATGAACCTTTGCCATAGGAGAATGTGGCCTCGTGCCCACACGAAGCTGTTCTTCTGGAAACGCAGACAGTTGGGGAGAGGTTGAGGAGAAGTTGTCAAATTCTGCGTTGCGCAGCAGTCCAGCAATATCCGTACGAAATAATGAATCATCTCATCCATACTGAATGGAAAGGGACGTGCTATGAAACCTGCACCTCATAAAACAAATTACATAAAAAAGAAATAAAGGCGGCAGTCGACGGTAGACACACTAAAATATTTGCCGCATCAAGCTTCACGAGTTCTCTCTACGAAACTGTTGTCGATTCCGGCACACCCGCTGCAGCCAGTTATGAAGCTGTAAACAAATGCTGCGCACGACTATCCAAGACAACTGTTTCTCTAAGGAAAAGGCAACCATCCTGGGAAACCGTCTTGCACCGTGTTAGAACCCAGCAAGAAGTCAAGCTCCAACATAAAAATGGGGCAACTTTGTGCTTCTCCACGATGGCAAGTATGTGCTAACTATAGAAGTTAGAACATATCTGTCAGACGGTTGTCCGACTTGCCCTCTCGAAACCCATGCAGAACTGGTCCCCGAACAAGCTGATGATGCACCTGGACCATGCCTTCCTGCCGGACCTGAGCACGGTCAACAGCTACCTGGTGCGCCCCAGCATGACGGACGTCATCCTGGTCCAGGGGGTGGCCACCGACGTGAACAACGCCGACGAGTTCTTGGGACCCGTCTACATCCCGAGCACAGTGTACTCCATTACTCTGAGGGTGAGTGCTTCTCTACCTGCACTTCCCATTTGATCTGGAGTTTGTGGAGCCTTCCGTCGCGTCGGTACTCACGGTCGCCCCTTATGCAGTGCATGTTGTTCTAGAGGCAACATCATATGTGCACCAAACTGTGCATCGGTTATTTCAGACAGTCAAAGCTGATAAGAATGACCTTGGTACAGGGGTTGGGGGTGATGGGAAGGAGGTTTTCCTTTCCTTCCCCGAGATATTTTACTACAAATGTCAGAAAAGTACTGGGCAATGATTGCCTACCCTGCCCTTACCCCCCCCCCCCCCCCCCCTGCCCCTCCTTGTTTTATTACCAAAGCTTTGGAAAGGAGAGTGGAAGCCCATCTGTTTCTAGGAAAATGGACTTCAGGTTCCTAAAAAAGACGAGTGTCCCAGCGAAATGTGGGCCGTAGCCAACAGAGGCTTCTCTTCGAGCGTACCACGCCTTAGATTTTTGACAGTTTACCGCAAATTGCCCTAACACGGCCGTTTCTCGGTGTTTGCAGAAAAATGTTTACAACGACCGGACAATCTTGGTGATAGTGGGCGACGAGAACTTCACGCCGGATCCCAACCTGGACTGGTCCGGCACCAGCCAGCGAAGGGGCAGCATCATGAACAACTTCGGCCTCTGCCTGTTGCACGACGTCCGGAGGCGGCAGTCTGTGCTGCTCGATGAAGACAACCCCAGAGGGGTGAGAGCCCAATATCATCTTTCTGAACCGAGATAGGCACAGCCATACCGTAGCGGCAGAAATGCTTTGATGCTGGTTCACACGCTTGCGACTGCCCACAACCGACTGCCCTAATACCTCTCAGAATCTTTTACGACGAGAGACTGGCGCCATCCATCGGGTGGAACCCTTGGCATTTCCCCTATATTTTTTGCACATTATTCTTTCTTTCTGGGCGAACAACGTCTGACAAGGTTATAAACGACTAATTCTCGTACATAGTATGCACATTTGATCAGGCAAACACTGCCAAACTTTTGCTTTAGTGAAGTTCAAGGGTCACCTCATAGATGGTGCTAGTGCCTTCGTAAGAGATTCTGGTTACCAACGTGTTTTTAGGGCGTCTGAGTTGTGGTGGCTTCAGACACCTCTCCAATTTCAATGACATGTTAACATTATACGAATTTTAATACTGCATGGTGATGCTGAAACATTTTCAAGGGCAGTGTTTGGGCCGGTGATGAAGAATTGATAGATTCCTCTTGGAGCAGCTTACCCAGAACTAGTTTCAAGGTCCTTCGTATGTTGTCTAAAACACAATTCCAAATTAAGTACCGTATTCACACGATTGTAAGTCGACTCGATTGTAAGTCGGCCTCCCCACAGTGCACGTCAGCAAAAAAAAAAATGTAGAGGCGCGTGAGAACGGCAGGCACCTCTTTGGAAAGTCCAGCCTCCAGCACATGCTCGATGCCTTCTGGCATGCTTTGGCTGCACACGTACGCGCAAGGCACATGACATGCCCAATCATTACCAAAGAGCTCGCCCTGGAGGTGGGACAACTGAAGCTGCTCCTTCTCACTCTTTCTGCGACTAGAAACTATGATTTGTCCGCAGTTTTGCTGTCGCTCCCGCCGTCATTTCGCTGCGTTAAAGCACGTCGTCGGCGTCGGCCAACGAAATCTCACACTTAACAAATAACCGCATCAACAGCATCTTCCGTGCTTGCTCGGTGATCGCGTCGCACATCACATGTAGAGACCGATCACGCAGTCCCGCGACGTACATTGCAAGCCTGACCTCTAACTCTGGACAGCATCCAGACCTAACCAGACTCTGGCCCGCAGAAGCCTCTTCGCTTGCTGTCACGGTTAAGACGTTAAGATCCTGTGCCGTTACAGGCGCCACTGGAGCACAACCCACTACTACTCGTCTATCTTGCGTCCAGCAGCGCACTTGTAGGTTGCTTTTGGATGAAGGATGTCCACAAACGAGCACCGATGTCCTAAACTGCTCAGATCACACCTGTCGACAGAGAAAAACGTAGTTGGCACTCCAGCAAGGTCTCGACACCCCATCAAGCGACGTGCTACCATGAATAGTGAAAAAAGAACTTTTTTACCTCAATGGAAAAGAAGCAGCGGGGAGTGAGGCTGAACACATAGAATGGCGCAATCCTACAGGTAGAGCAGGCTGAACTCGTAACTTGCCGAGGTGTTCTTGATATAGTGATTGTTTCGTTTTTGTCGGCGTTAGAATGCTTTGGTTTGATTATAAGTTGACCTAGATTTGTGTAGATACGGTAGTTATGAGAAAAACATTTACCTTTCCTTCAAGGCGATGAGCTCACCGCTGAACCTGGCATTTACAACAATGGTTATAAGTGACAGAAAATATACTATTTCAATAAAACCCAAAGTAGTCACATACACATTTGTTGTAACATAAATGTGCCAATGAATAAGTTCCTCAATGAACCTTTGAATCTCATGACTGCAGCGCTCGTGGTCCGACAACTTCCGCAAGCGGTTCTTGTCCAATGCGGACTCGACGCTGCAGCTGACGCCGGGCAAGCGTCGTCTGTCCATGTTCAGCACCGGCGAGAAGTCGGGCATCGACAACCCTTCCTTCGTCACAGAAAAGCCGGATTTCCAGAATGAGACCAAACCGGTACGTACACTGCCCTCAATGCAAACGTGGCAAAAAAAAAAAAAACAGACATCCAAATATTGACAATTATTGCGCAAGTTAAGATTACCAAGTGCCTGATGATTTATGTGGACCTGAGTACAAAAAGATTTTGGTCAATAAATTGCAAACTGGAAGACATCTTGGATTGACAAGTTGCAATGTTTAATACCATTAAATACTGAGCAAGCACCCACCCAAAAATTGGAGACAATGTTGAAAATGTGGAAGAAGCAAAAGGTAGGATGGGCTTCACTGCTTAGCTCTTGTGCACACGCAGAGGGCTTCATTGTTTTGCACCTTCCGTGGAGAAGCGGGTAATGCAGAAGAGCATCTCAGTTATGTGGGCTTTAGGGTCTGGGGCTGATACTTGATATGCCTTTTGTTTGTTTATAGAATGGTTCAAAAGTAGGGGTGGACGCTTACCGGGACACAAGTGCGTGCTCGGTATTTTACGGCAGTTCAAATGGGATGCTCCAATGAAATGTTCCTGATATTCCAAGAAACAATTTAACGCCCATAAAACACTATTAGAGCAGTACATTCAGAACCTTCAGACTCCTGCTTGTCTCGAGTGACCAACTTAGAAGACGTCTGCATTTTCCCCATATGCCTAAAGAGATGGACTATGGGGCCCATATGCTGACAGAGCATTCGAAACTGATAAAAGCTATTCATTTAAGCCAAGTCCACCAAAAACAAACAACGCCCTCTCGATTGTTTGCTTCGGGTTTGTCCAGATCTGCCGAATAAGCTAGCTTTTCAGGAAAAACCTAGCAGAATATGTGGTCCTTGGCAGACTAGTGGTTGTCCCTAAACGAGTTCAGTCCCCTTTTTTCCCTCGACCTGTCTGCAGAGGTCTTGGACGGACAAGTTCCGGGTGCGGTTCGGACCAACCGAGCTCATGGCGCCCGGCAGTGGTGGCGGTGGCATGCCAGACCGAGCGAACCGGCGCATGTCCATGTTCAGCCGCATGGAGAGGATCAACAGCTATGGCAACGTTACCGAGTTGCAGGTACGAACCCAGACACAACCGAACAGTACCAATCGTTGGGCGAATTGGTGCTAGATTTGAGAATACATGGTAGCGCTCGAAAACAAGGACAGAAGAAAGGAAACTGGGTACGATTCTCCTTTTTCTCTCCTTGCCTTCAAGCGCTACCATGTATCCTCAAACTAAAGATAACCGACGGCAGAGAGACATTTGACCACCCAGAGAAAACAACTGTCTTGACAGCATTCTGCCGTGTTGCCAGAGAATGATAAAGTGACAGCCGCCACTAATATTTTCTTATTCGTGGATGGTCCAGCTGCTATTGCTCCCCTCTTGTTCCTTATTTTCAATTTGTCTCGCATATCAGTGAACACTTGGAAATGTTCCCAATGTGGTCGGTATACGTAGCACAACTTCGTCGTGTTCCCGTCAGTTTAGAAACGTGTCACCAGATTACACTTGAGCCCCTCCCAAAAGTTTCTGTGCAGAACAGCTGAATACCCAAAGGATTTTGGTGGAGGAATTAACTAATTAAAGTCATCTGAGTTGACCATTCCATCTCATTTTTGCCACGCAGGACAATGGAAACGGAGAATCGAAGCCGGCGGAGCAACAAAACGGCAACACGGCTGACGACACCACAAAGAAAGTGCCCGAGATTGTGTTCAGCCATTTCTGAGTGTGCCGCGAAAACAAACTCTAGTGACTTGCACGACGAAGGCTGCAAGCTACACCAACAATGCAACGCAGTGTCTACGAGCAGTGACTAAGAGACAAGCTTTGACTTGGGCTTCGAGGCCGAAAGACTGCCGATGCCACGAGGGGGAGCCATTGGACAGGGGCGTCACCAGTCACGTCATCGGGCGCTACCTCCGCCTCACCCCATCATGTTGAAGACTTGTTTTGTGACGTACCTCACCACTCACCATCGCTCATCCCGCAACACCGTGCCAACTGTGACTCAAACTGTTCGTGTAGGGAGAGAACAGACAAGCCGACCGGCAAACATTGCTCCAGATACTTTTCGCACAAAACCTCGTCGGCACCACGTCTGCGTGATGCTCGGGCAATAGCCTGGTGTCGCGAGTTGCCGGGACGTAGAAACCCTTCTCACGATTTCACGGCACTGTGACTGTGAAATGGACGAACAACCTTCTTTTTTTACAGCGGAGCTGTTAAGGGTTAGTTTCCCCGGTACCGTGTCCGTCAGCAAACAAATGATGACACAAAACTTCTGGACAGCTACCGCCATCTATAAACGACGGCGGCAACCAGACGATCGGCTTGCCGGTTGTCTGGTTGCCGCTATCGCTCATAGATGGCGCAACCTTTCCAGCCTTTCCACTCTGGCTTGCCGACCTGCGGCCGGCCAATACTTCATTCCCACCATAGTACAGCTTCGCTGGTCTTCCTTTATCACCAGAGTGGAAGGGCTGAAAGTATTTTTTAGACAGAGATGACTCCGGTCACAAGACATCTGCAGAGTTTTTACCTCCACCAAAAGCTTGCGTGTAAAGGGAAAACAAATGTTTATGTAATATATTTTAAAATAGGCCGCAGCAAGCTTAAGCTCCAATACATTTTTTATGGCATTTTTATAGATTAAAAATCTACGCTTGTTACCTACATCTGTTTTATGCAGTTATTTCATCGCATAAATGTGTCTGTGACATGCCGTTACACATTGTGAAATTACTGGGGTGCCGCATTTATCATTGGTACGTATCATTTTCGTCAAGAATGATTAGCTCGCTAAAAGGGCTAGTGAAAATAAATTTAACGGTATTTTGAGTAACTTCCCACGCTGCGTGGATTATGTTGAGGAAACAAAAAGTCCCTAATGTACAGAAGCTTGCATCGATTTTAAATCCACGCTGGAGCACTGAAGGCTCACATGAGCATTTTACTAACAAGACGGCAAAGAGCCAAAGATACAATTTTTGCGGTGAAATTTTTAAAAGAATGAAGGCTTGTCTTGTTCACATATTTTTTTAAAGCTCGTGCTCGGCATGCAAACGATACCCGTGGATTGGACACGAGCGCATATCCCATTGGTCGGTGCGCACTCGGTGGTCAACGAGTGCAGCGAGAGAAATTGCCACTAGCGCTCATCAATCTTCTCCAGTGTTTTCTGCAACAGTGAGGCTGGTTCGCACGTTTCCATTCGAGCGCAGCCGACTGCATTGCGACCCTTTGCATTCCACCGTGAAGCATTGCTCAGACCTCGGTTGGCACAGCGACCATCTTGTCATCCGCAGTCGTAACGTGGTAGGCCGCACTCAAACGCAGATGTCTGAACCAGGCTTTAGCGTGCAGAGCCAATGCCAAAATATGTATCTTACGTATAATCTACATCGGTGATTACGTCTAAACACGAGGCTCGTTCGATTCACCTGCACGTCCTCTCTCAGTCTACACTCAGTTTCACTGTAACTTGGCAGACTATGACCCCAAAATCCAACTGGAGGGAAGGGGAGAATCACGTGACAGCCTTCCATAAGTGAAGAGCATGCCTGTTTTGCTCCCACATTCTTTGACGAGACCGTAGCATTTGCCATTCACAAAGTTATGCTAAAACGAGATATACACTCTATGTATACCACCTCATTTGTTCTATTATAAAACATTTACCCTAAGTGCACTCTCGTGCACTTTGCTACACCTTTGCGAACCAATGTATGTTGGTGCAGGCAAATCGAACGAGCCCAGCATTTAGCAATCCATCCAGAGTCCTTTATGGGCGATTCGCTAGAGCGCACCCTAGAAAGAGCGCTCCAGAGCAGACTGAAGACAAACACCAGAACGTGTCTCGAAATAGTGTTTTCCCAAAGCTGCCCCTCTCGACCTTGAAGTTGTTTCAAAATGCATTTCAATTTAGCATTTCTAAAGACGTTTGTTAGTGGAACTGTAATATTTCTATCAAGGGACACGTAAGAACAGTTCCAATTTTTTCTAAATATGGCATGTTTTAGCACACTAGAGGGCTGAACCTACTACTATTTTTCTGCAGTATTTAGGTACTATTCCCGTAATGATCAGGTTGTGTGTTCCCCTCGTTCAATTGATGTGTGGGCCTAGGAATCGTTCGATTAGAGCTAGGCCAGTGCCCCTCATAGAATTCTTCTCCAACAGCTTTAAAACAGCAATAAGCATGTTTCCTCACTTTCAGTGGAAAGGTGTTGTGTCCACTGGATGCACATAGGCGTAGCGTAAACCACGATTGTACAGATATTTGAAGCTCTAGGGGAGGCTACGACTTCGAAACAAACTGGTAAGACGACCGAAAGGGACATCCTCCTGTTTGTCGTGGGATGAATTGTTTTACTGACTCCGTGCTAACCGTCCACATCGACATGTTCTAACTCGCTGAGGAAGGCTTGGCACTTGGCCATGAGCACCTTGATGGCTTCGGTGACCAGCAGGTCCGGTGGGTAGGCCCCCGTTGACTCCACAGAAACTGGAATCAAGACGGAGAGTTGTTCGTCACTCGACGCCTAAACGTACGAGCAAAGACATCCTGACCACCTCTCTGTCAGCACCACATTGTAGCGCTCAACTATGTGCGAGCTCGTGTTGCACTACACTGCTACGGAGCTGCAGAGCAACTAATTAAAAGTACTATTTAGGTTTTCGTAATTCAAGTTTTGGTAACTAAACTCTTAATTAATAAAATATTGAAAAGGAAAAAAACGTTTTTAAACAGCCTGGAAAAATTACAAATATTAAAAAATACATTACCCCTCCCTCCCAAACTTCTTAAAAAAATTATTTACAGCGCTAGACTTGCTTTAGTGTAGTTTTCAAATGTGCACTCCAGAAATAGCTACATAACATCACTACCAGATTACCGCATGTACACGCCAGGGACAGCGTTCTTATCCTCTTTTTCACATAGCGAGAAAAATGGAAAGGAGGAACGCTGAAGAGAAGTAAGGGGAGGAGAGGCAGCCAATCAGAACGATGCCCTTGGCGTGTACGTATGATGACGTGATGGTGACGTTATGTACCCATTTTTGGCGCACGCTTTTGAAGGCTGTAAACTAAAACAAGTCTAACACTAAATAATTTGACAAAAAAAATATTTTTGTGTAAAACTTATTTTGTAATAGTTGCAATTTCTTTAGGTCGTTTAAAAAAAAATTTTTATATGCATGCTCACGCTTTTAGCTCACATGTTCACGCTCGTAGCATCAACCGCGTCTGGACTTAAGCTGAAACGAAGCATAGTTTCGATATCGGTGCTTCACACTTCCACTGCTTCAACCTTTACAGGGAATAGAAACCTGCATCAAACTATGCAAATGTGCCGATAGCATCACGGCTGCAATGGACAAGCTGTTTGTCAACCAGGCGGAACAAACCTCGCCATAAAGAGCTATTTTAAAAATAACTAGGTGGACTGTACTACAGGGAGTGACGGCGAGTAACTGTGAGTTTCTGCGAGTAGCTGCAAGTACCTGTAATTCGGACGTTTCAGCTCCTTTAAAGGGGCAGTGCAGCGATTTTTAGATTTCGGCCAATTAACTGCGGGAATTAATCTGCGTCACCTATAGAACGAAGGACAAAGAACCTAGTTTACTGGCGCGTGCTAGCTTTTATTAAAAAAAATGAAACAAATCGAAGGTCAAAGTGCCTCTCAACTCCCACGCCGTCTTTCGAGTGACATACTCAGGGTTGCCCGTTCGGTTCTCTTCTCGGATCCCCCAGTCGCTCCCTCCGTGATTGTCAACTTTTCAAAGATTAGTATCGCCGAAGGTCGCGACGAGCGATCGACACAAAATACGGTTCGCCACAGGGCTGAGTGTAGCAGCAGAAGGGGAAAGGTTTTGTTGACTTCCGCGTGCCCCCCAGAAGGCATTTCACTGTGTTTCCCATAACCGCCACAAGCAGCGGCAGATCGGCCAATGTTAGTTTTTTTTCCTTTGCGATTACGCGACAGAAAAGCAGTTTTTTGGGGAAAGGTGGTACGTTTTGTGTCACCGTTGCCTAGATAAACAATATAAAATATAGAAACTGGGAATTCTTTGAACATTAAAATTGTTGGACTAAGCAGTGCAAAGATTTTAACGCCGAAAACATTTGCAGCCTGCATTTTTTTATATTGTATATCTTGGCAAAAGTGAGAGGAAACGTGCCACCTTCCCCCAAAATACTGATATTTTGCTGCATAATCGCGAAGGAAAAAGCACATCTTTTTCCGACCTGGAACAATCTGTGGCGGCCGCTGGAATTACAGTGCCACACCATTCGGAATACGTAAATTTTCGTGGTGCCATCCATCGGAAGTAAACAAAATTATTTCCTCTCCGTAGCTACCTCCTCCGTCTTTCCTGTTACATACCATGTTTGTCCCGATCGCTTGCCATTTCGAGGCCCCGAAAATAGGACCAAATGCGATACTCCAAGTGGCGTTACTGCACACCTCACTCAAAAAGCTGCGCAAGCTAACAAGTAACCCGACCTTCAATTTTTTTGTTTTTTTCACTTGATAGGTGACATAGAACAATTACGCAATTATTTGTCCAAAGTCCAAAAATCGTTGCACCGCCACTCTAAGATGACTACTCTTGAAGAACAACTTTCTCAGTTCCCACGGCATCCCTGGGGGGTACGAGAAGGAGGGCTTACAGATGAAGTGGTCCTTGACCCTGGTCAGCTCGACGGCATCCTTGAGGTCGTCGTACAGGAAGACATTTCGGCTGCACGTGTCCGCCCGTGCATTGGCAACCCGTGCCACCTTGTGACCTGAGGAGCACAACCGAAGGTCTCGCATCACGAGAGACGACGGAAACAAACGTGCGGACGCAAGCCGCTAAAACCTACCGTCATCTGTCTCGTCGAGTTCGATGACCCCCTTTGCGAAGCAGCCCTGGAGCCTCTCTGCCTGTTCGTCCCTCACTTCGCGCAGCAGGACAATCTCCGGAAGAAGACGATACGACGCGGTCGCTGCGGGGCATTACAGCACGCACCGTGCATAGAAAAAAAACAGCCGTTTTTAAGCTTAATTCTTTTTTTTTTTTTTCCTAAAAACTACTCATGAAATTTGAGTATGATATAAGTGCCACCCAAAGATAGCTTTGTGAAACGTTTCAGTGCCCCCAGTTCATTGGCCACTATATATGCACCTTTTTACGCCCGAGTAGCACTAAGAAACACCCCAAGAGCGCCTAGATTTGAGAGTGTTTCCAACTCCCGGATTGAGGTGCGTGCCTTACGAGCTGCGTCTGCGATACAAGGTGCAAGGAGGGTACAAAAGCGTTAATAGTTTGCAAGCGCCTCCAGCTCGCCTCAACGCCTGCTATCGTCCTTGTCACGCTCAATTCTAGGCTCTTCAGCTAAGACCACTCCAACGGTTTGACAATGTCACTTACACTGAGTGACCAAGCGACACAATGCTTGGACACTACATTTAACTACCAAGCCCCAGTGATGTGGGTGAATGTAGTTAAATGCTGGAGTATAAAAAAAGGGAAAAAACTTGATACAATGCAAAAAGTAACTTTCCGCTGCACAACCTTTAGAAACAGATTACATTTCCTTCCCTCCCTCCATTGGCCTGCTGCTCCAACAGAATTCAAACACTGATACAACTCTTCGATTCCACACATAATAGGGATGCATTCTATGACACTTGCAACTCCATTACGTTGGCATTTCTTAAGAGTGCCATAGCAACCAGAAATAGTTTTTACGAGAGCAGATGACTCACCAACAGGGGAGAACTTTGCATGGTCTTGACCGGTCCCTTTCATACAATGAAGCTTCAGGTCAATTTCCTGCAAGCAAAGAAGCGAAGGAAACATAACATGACATGATATATTTTTTTGTGGGTTTAAGGTCGTCCAATCACCTGCCCAGGCCTCAGCTTTGCGAGGATGATGTCATCGTAGACTGGCTTCGGAGGCTTGTTCCCAAACTGCATTGTCAAAGCATGATGGCAAAATTAATGTCGCAAATGAGTAATGCCACAAGTTTGGACCGCGTGACATAGAAGCAATCGTTATATCGAGGTAGCATAACATTAATCTAGTGACATGACTGGATAAGAAAGATCTAGTCGAGGTAGATGTAGCGCAATAGGTGGATGAGTGGATGGATGATATTGGCTATGCCCTGAGCATTCGGCGGTGGCTTGTGCCACATGGCCTAAAATCATTCACACCCCTCCCCTTCAGAATTTGCCCAAAATTAGATCTCTTAATAAGTCGTCTAAACCATGTTATGCGCAAGTTCTTCGTCTTGTGCGGGCGTTTATACATTTTACGCAGAAATTGGCCAAAATAAACTGCCGTCGCATGTGGACAAAAACTTACAATCTCCGCCTGAGAGCCAATCGGAGTCCACGTCAAGTGCCGAGTGTAAACTGCAAGAAAAAAAGAATGTGGTATTTGAGTCGCACATTTTTTATGAGCTTCGAGACAAGCAACCCGGTAAGTGGATCAGAACAATTGAAAACAGTATTGCTTGGGCTACTGCAGCCCAGTGTTCCAAACATAAAAATAAACCGAAACTCACTCCGGCATTTCTTAAAACTGGTGCTTCACACATTTACATTTCAGTGTGACCCACTGCGTTAAAACCACTTGCAACTGCTTATACGACGGGAGAATGCACTGGTGCCATCAATCAGGTGGCCCTGGAGCACTTCCGATTTGCTTACGACTAGACCAAAGGTTTTTGGGTATGTGCAAGATGAAACCATGAGAAAAGGTTGCTTATAACTCTGTCAGAATTATTTCGAGCCCATGGTGAAAGAATGGTAAGTAAAAAATAAGGAAACTATGCAACTAGAAAATGTTCCAGTGGTAACCAATAGGTGGGGCCACTGTCTTATCACGTGTTGCTGCTTACCACTCTTTTAATTGAAGAGTGATTAAATGTTCAAACCAAAAGCTCTGGCTGGGGGCGCAGCCCACTGCCAGAAAGGAGTTCAGCCGTATCTGCCCGTCCATTGACCGTGGTAAGAGGTTCCAACGCAGTAAATTCCACTCAAATTCAAATGTGAGAACCAGGCTTTAGACAAATTCCAGAAAAAAAGAACCATGAATGTACCATGCTGTTGTAAGAAAGTGACACTGTACGCAAGGAATGAGAAGATGGTGGTTTTCGTACCGACATGGTCTTTGTACAATTCGTCGGGCGTGGTGGCATCTTTTGGCGCTTGCGGGTTTCTGGTGCACTTCACCTTCAGCTCAAACTCGACAGTATCTTCGGGAGAACCCTCGCTGTCTGCAAGCCGTTAGTCGGGTCAATTCGCTTGCTGGCAATGGCAGCCAAATAATGTGCAAAGAACCGACCTTTCTCCCTGTAATCAAACATGCGTGGGTCAATGTTGAAGGGCACAAGTCCGATGCGATGAGCGAGCACTTCGTCCTGCACGATGCTCGTGTTGTTATACATGAAAACTTTGTCTGGTGCCATGGTAGGAACCTGGAATATATGACACACATTAGAGATTAGCATGCACCCCGCCATTTTAGAACATGGAATCGGAAGTGGGGCGTACCTCGGCCAGTAAGATCCGTCGGATGGCGTTGGCAATGGCCGGGTTGACTCCGATCATGTCAAACTCCATGGTCATGTCGTCGAGAGACACAATGCCAATTTGAAAATTCTGCGGACATTATAAAAAGAAAACGCTTGTCAGAAACGCAGGAAAAGATTTACTAAAGGCTTGCACATGACGTCATCGCATTGCGCTGGCGGTCATTACTACTTGTTCTTGCCGAGAAAACATCCGTGGTTTGCACTGACGTATGGTCTCGTGCGATATGAAAGACCCACTGGGGAATCTGTGGCCGAGACGACGGCAGGCGGGGGCACGGTGCACACTTCAGGTGATTCTATTTTGCTTTGAGGGGAGCTCTCTCACTTAATGCACAACCGGACCTGAACATGCTTAAATTCTTGGTTTTGGTTTAGCGGAAGAGTGCGCTTTATCAGTATCATGCCCATAGAGATATGGTCACAAAGGCTGGAAACAAGCTAGTCATCACTGTTGTTTATGTTGTTTCTGGAGTAAAATGTCAGAACAGGCACTGCCAAATAAACAAATATTAAAGCTCTACTCGAGTTTTATATTTAAGATATAAAATTTGTTGAAGAGCACAATCATTAATTAGAAGGAGTGTGCAGATCTCACTCTTTAACAGAGTCAGAATAATCGCTTTGGCTCAAGGCCAGTCTCTCCGACCGCAATTCCAGCGTTAGTAGGACATAGCTGTAGCACGACGCCGACAAACTGTTTTCCGCCGCGAAACTGAAGCTGATAAGTGTGTGTTGCGCTTTTCCTGAGCCCCAAGTGAGTCCTCCCCTTCGGTAGAATGGAATGGTTCAAAGTGCACGCTTGACCGGCCACCGTCTCGGCCACGCACTCCCCAGTGGGTCTTTAATATAATACAGATTTTTCACGTGACATCACTTCCCCTATCACCGTTCGCCGGCCGCCATTACCAGGTACTGAGAAGCAGACGCGGACACCGCTCTTGCGTATGTTACAGCATTTACATGTACGACTACAGCACGAAATTTCCATCGGAAATGCAGGATCACTGAACTGAACATTTTAACTCAAAAGATTCATAAAATGCATTATGCAAACTGGCAAGGCTCGTAACAGCGGAGGTTGTTTACCGCGTTCGTAGCCCAGATGCTGAGTGGGTACCCAGTCGGGGTTTGTGTCGTCCATTAGAGTCGAAGGTTTGCCTGTACATTAAAAGACGTGCCTGTACTTGAGGCATTAAAAGTTGCAGCATCTGAACTGTACAAGCTTGTGCTGCTGCCGAAACATTATCAACACAAGTGGGCTATGAACATGACAGAGATAAGGAAGCTCTGCGACAAAGGTAAAAGCAAAGAGAGCAGCTGCGGTTGTCCTTTATAGTAGAAGGTTTGTCAGTCCCTGCAGCATGACACTACCAGACACTGTAAAGCTGCCTTAGCTGCTGTGGCAAAGCACACAGAGTATGAATGTAAGATTTCAGCAATCCATGTGTTAAGGATGACAGATGTATCCCTTATCGGTAATGACGCAACGACCAGACACGGTCATTGTCGAGGTTCTTCAATCCTTCTGGCGTGTGCTCTGGTGTTTCTCGAACAGCAGGTTTTTGCGCTCAAGCTGTCTGTATACCACTTTTGGCAAACAATGCAGCCTAATATTTAGCACTGCGTTACTCTCCTTTGCGGAGGACTTGGCTGCAACCCAACATCGCACACATCAGCATTACTGCACCACTGTGACCACAAGGGTACCCTAACACGCAAACACGCAAGACTTGCACCGAAAACGATGTAGCTGGGGCCATCGTTGCCGGCAGTGGCCTGAAACAAGGAGGCTAGAAGTACTAGAAGGGGGCACGTTGCAGTATTGGTGAAGCCTAGTCATAAAAAGTTTAAACGATGTTGTGGCCAACGTGACCGTAGATCTCTCTGGCAATTGGTGCACGTGACATGTCACGTGTGAGATGGATGGTTGATTGTAGAAGAATTTCTTGCAGGCTTGGGCACGTTTTGTCCGGTAGGCTTTATCAGATCGGAGGCTAGACTGTGGTGTATTCTATTACCCCATAGCTAGACGAAGGCTAGCTACGGTCACGTTGGCCAGATAAGTGAGGAGAGTAGAGAGGAAAATGAGGAAGAGGCGAGGCGTCAAGGGAGCATGGCTTGTGGAGGCTACGCGGCTGGCGTCATGCCCTCTCCTACCCTTCTATCCTCCTTGGCCTGAAACCAAAACTATGTCAGTACCTGGTGATGGCGGCAACATATCCCATGAGCCCCGGCAGTGACGTCCGGGAAAACTATGTGTTGCAGGAGATTGTACGTACGTCACATCAGCGGCCATTGTGGTGGTCTTGCCGCGGGGCGCGTACCTCCTGCACCATTCATTTCACCCTAGCGAATTGGTTTCTCTCGGCAAGAACAAGTAGGTTATTACATGATGCGATACATCTCCGCAAGAGATATAATTTTCATCCAGTCAAATAAAGTTGCCGTAACTTCAGGCACACAATTTTTACAACATTTGCTAACAGGTCGTCTGATCAAATTGCCATTCTCTAAAACGGTTATTCGCCAGTCTTCAAAACGCTGTTTGCAAAAGCCGTTGGTGCTCACACGCTCGAACTTCTTGAGATCCCAGCTATCATCGATTCCGGCGAAGGTTCCCGGGTAGTCTGACGTCTCCGTCTGAAATCGGAACCATCGCACAACGTAAAGCAGTGACCAAAAAACCAATCGAAACGCTCGGGTTCGCACAAACAAACTTCGTCCGAACTACTCACATTTAGCAAATCGTGTTCGCACATATGAACGTGAGTTCTCATCTTGTGTAAATGCGCCATCTTCTAGCTCTCTTGGGAGTTGGCACTCTGTCGACGTTCGCTTGGACACACTAAATACACACTAAATAACTGAAAATGATCGGCGAAGACTTCAGAGAGTTGATGACACCGAAAACATTTCAAAACACGTGCGTTGAACCAACAAAAACATCCAGCCTAGAGCGAGCACATTCCGTTATTCGTCCCAGCCTTCGCGTTTTAAAAAGTGACGACAATAGTGTCACGTGATCAAGATACTAAAAAAAAAAAAGTAGCCAACCAATATTATAAAAGTATTACAAGTAAGTTTATTGCTTTATATTGCAGTGGATGGATGATATTTAGACCAGAGACCACCTGAGACCACTCAACGAGACCATCTACCTAATTTTAGAGCGCGGCCTCTATTCTATTTCCGGGCATTAACGGTCGGCGGTTCTGTTTCCGGTTTGGGTGGCAGGGAGGTGGAGTTCGCGTGCTTGTGACCCGGCGGCATAATTTTACACATTTTCGATTTGCCGAAAAAAAAAATGGTTAGTACGACCTCCCCGCTGCTTTCTCGACTCTGCAAACGGTTTCCCCTTTCTCCGGGTCCCTCGGCCACTCATAAATTTGGCCTAGCCAGTTATATTTTGACCGAAATGGGGGTTTCCGAAGGGGTCCCCCATCCCCCTGCCGAAATGTCGAAAGTGTTCGTGCGCCCGTAGGCGGTGTTCGTTCCTTCGACTTAACCGGCCGGCGTCCCCCGGCCTCGAATGGTTCCTCTTTTCTGGTTCCAGATACGATTCATCCTGATCCAAAACCGCGCCGGGAAGACCAGGCTCGCCAAATGGTACATGAACTTTGACGACGACGAGAAACAGAAGTTGATCGAGGAGGTCCATGCAGTGGTGACTGTCCGGGACGCCAAGCACACCAATTTCGTCGAGGTGAGGGGACGGAGAGCTCGCCACAGGTTTCTGGCGTGCATTTGAGTCTGCGCTGTTGCTAATGGGACGGCTTGGAACGAGTCCATGGACACTGCAGGGATTGGGAAAGTGACAGTACTCTGAAGCGAGGAGTCTCGCATGTTTTGGTCATTCGAATACCTCGAAAGCCCGGGCTTTACGTAAGGGAGCGTTTGATGGAACAGGAAGAACACTAGGGAAGCATACAGTATGCAAGGAAAGCTAGGAAATACAAGAAACAAATGTAAAAGGCATAAAACGCTAAGTTGAGTACATACGTTAAGAAATCCTCAAGATTGATTCAATACACTTTGGTCATGTCCACGTATTACACTGCAGTACAAATTCTTATGACTTGGAGTGTATGCCGATGGCTGTAAATGCCACTAAGCTAAACATTGTGGAGGTTTGGTCAGCAATCTTTCCATGAAATCGAGTGTTGGAGCGGGGAGTTTATACTCTGTTCACTCTTAAAGGGGTACTCCGGCCGTTTCTTGAGCTACCCAAACATATTGCATTTTCCGAATACCCGCCCTTTTAGTCTTCACAGTATGCTATTTATTATTTTGAAATTCAAAATAGCTATTAATTAAACCGTAAATAAAGATCATACCGAAACCAATATTCAAATTTCCGCACGCCCTCCAGTGGTGTGGCATCACAAACGGCACAACAGATATTTGGTTCGAGCAGGTAATCTTAAACAGAGTATGTCGAGCGGTTTAATGCAAAAGCATTTACTGCCTCATGGAGCAAACCGACGTCGTCAGCTTTGAAGCCGCGCCAAACGGCACCTAAACTTCTTTCTCCAAGTGAAGCCGCGTTCTGGTGGCACCCAGCCTTGAAGCCACGCGAAATGCCTAGCCAAACAGCACCTACTTTCCTGATCCCAAAGGAGCGGAGTGAAGCCGAAATCTGATCGATTTCGGCTTCGGTCCCATTGGCTGGCGCGCGTCATAGCTTCAAGGAACGAGGCTCCCATTGGCCGCTGCGCGTCAGTTTCAACAACTGCCGCCCCATGGCACTTTGTGTCCGCGCCGCCAGCGTGCCGGTAACGCAAAGCGTCTCGCCGCCGAGCGAGGCGACGGCAGCAGCGGCCCCACTCCTGAGGTCAGAGCGTCAGAAGGACATGTATGCTTTCGCATTCACAACTCTGAAGAAGTGCTTAGGTGTGCCACGAGCCTTTTTGTCGTGCTTCCCAGTGAATAAGCTTTTAAGGATTCTTTTCCCACCATAAAACGTCTTGTAATCAGTTGGGAATGTCGTTTACTGCCTACTTTTTACCGTTTCTGTCTTCACACTTTAATGTTGCCAGCAGGGGCTCTCGGTTTGAGAAACACTATGAGATTGAAATTCAAGAATTCAGTAACTTTGCACCTTTTTTTTTTTTTTTTTTCATTTCGCCCAACATGGGGGACTGGTACAGCCGTGTCTATTGGTGTGTTCAGCCAAATTCGAGCTAAATCAGCGACCATAAAAAAATGGCTGGACTTCGGTGGAAGCTACAAGCACTTTGAACCAGTCATGCGTCGACCCTTCACCATGTGATCACGCTCTCGCCCGCATCCTCAAGCGGTGAGCTGGTCAGGTGATGAAAGGTAGGGGCCTGATTGGTCCAGCGAGAGCGTAGCTCTTACCACAGTCTCAGCTTAGGGGTGAATGGAGTATACACCTTTCCAAAAAACACTCGACCCCAGGGGCCACAAACCGTTTTCGAGCCCAGTCACTGAGTTTGAGGCTAGACTCTCACCGGCGTCCCTCCTAACCCTAACCGAGTGGACTGTGATTTCAATAGGCGCGGCCTGCGTAGGCGCAGTTTCAAACGCTGCTGGCGGCTAAATTCTCGTTTTTTCCCGCAATATTTTGTGTTTCATTGTACATGTATTTTCTCGAGGGCATTGAGAAAGCATTGTGCCACACTAAAAAAAAACAAAGAAAACTGTAAACTGTTTTTGTTGGGTACGCGCGCGACAGAGCGAGTGCGACTGGAATGTATAGTTTAGTTATTTGTTTTTTTCTTACGATCAGTTTTGACGACGCCGCGGGATTCGCCGCATGTGAAGCGACAAAGCGCTTTGCTGTCAAAAATAAATACCAACAGAAGACGGCCGAAAGGCATGCATTTTTCACGCTCACAAATAACGTGTTTACCGATGGACAGGACACGGACGTGCAATTGAGGAAGTGGTAACATTAGAACAATATATCGTACATACCACACGATGCAGCGTTATCCAAAAAGAATTTATTTGAGAAAGATCTCAAATAACACAGTCACAGTCGACGACAGTCACATCTTGACGATCGGACGGAATCCGAGATGACTTCGTTTGGGGCACGTTTCGGGGAGAGCTTCCTTTTTTTCACAACCGCACCAAGGCAAAGAAACAAACGCGACTGACCCGTTTCTCACCCCAACCCGGGCAACTATTTTTGGAGATGACTGAGGATTCTACGCGGATTATCTCTGGGAGGGGGGAGAACAATGTTCGCAAAATCGCGTCGAGGGTCGTTCGACGTCCTTCACCTGCTTCGTTTCCCGTGAATGTCGAGTAGAAAAGCTTGAATGACAGGCAATTACCAGCCTTATTTCTCACAATGGAAGATAACACAAGAAGGGTAGGCAGAGCGCATAAAAAAAAAATGAAGCGGAAACTTTCAAGAAAGCGAGAAAACGGCGAATGCAAAACGGCTAAAATGCATGTAGAGAACCGCGCTGAGCGGGTCTTCACAGTCCCAGAGAGTGGCAGAAAATTTCTAGCTGATAGAGGGCGCGAGAGTCGCACCAGCCGCATCAGCATCAGCAACATGGCGGCGGCCTAGGAGCGCTTTTTGGAAAGGTGTATAGACCATACAGTTTCTCTGATGATGATGATGAAATTTTGCAATTTTCTTTAAAGGAACCCTGCAGGATTGGGAGAAGGGACCGCCACTTTTCACCTTTGCAGACAATATTTTCTTAACAGTGAAGGGCTTTTTGCTCGGTATAAGAAATAATGATTACAAAATCACATGGTTTCTTCAGTATGTTTCCAGCTTGTTCGAACAAAATAGTGTATTTGTCTCTGAAAATACCAGCATGAGAAAAACAGAAAATGGCAAGTGCTTCTTCGATGGTAATTTTAATAAAGGCTTCCACTGAGTCATTGCTGTGAGAGGCTTTAATCACCGACAGTACAGGAATGTTTTGCACTGTCCTACCACTATGCTCCGTTCAGCCCCAAGCTGACAATGTGGTGGGACCCACACGCTCACCTTTCCTCTTTCCCTGCCCATTGGTGTGGGCGGGGGACATGATTGTGCGGTTAAAGATGGGCGTATGACTGGTGCGACGAGCAGGTAGTTTCCACCGCACTGTCAGCCTAGGGGTGAACAAGGTGTAGCATCAAGCCTTTTGTAGTGTCTTTGTTCTTCTGTGCACTCCAAAGGCTAGACCGAAGTAGAAAGCTTGTGCTCGAAGCACGACAGAAACTTCAGTCGTTCTTCAACTGTCTGCGAATACAGTATATTCGTTTTGTCTCGATGGTGCCCTAACGCATGTCTTGTGTTGACTGTGCAGTTCCGCAACTTCAAGATAGTGTACCGCCGGTACGCCGGCCTGTACTTCTGCATCTGCGTGGACGTTCACGATAACAACTTGGCGTACCTGGAGGCCATCCACAATTTTGTGGAAGTGCTCAACGAGTACTTCCACAATGTTTGTGAGCTGGACCTCGTCTTCAACTTCTACAAGGTACCCACCTCCACTTCCTCTCCTTGTTTAGAGCTTCAACGCAGAATGTGTTCAAGGGCTGTGATCCCCAAGGAAAGTGGGACGGAACAGAAACTGTTATGAAAGGTGTAACACATACTTATGACTCGAGGACAATTAGTACAAAAGGGTGGCAATATGAGAACAAGGATTGCAATTCCGGATGCACCTCAACCGTGTTCAAACGGTTTATGGGAAAAAACAAGAAATCCAAGACATGCCCACCGTTGCATAAAAAGAACAGAGTTCCGAATAAAGTCACTTAATATAAAAAAATTAATAAAAATAAACGGGAATATTTATTACAAACTCTGAAGAATGCCGCAGAAGCACATTCTGTGTATGGCGACTCTATCTGCAAGGTCAAGATAAATTGAGCATTCTTCTTCTAGTCTCTAGCTAACACTTGGTTCCATATATGATTTTTTGATCGGCCATCGAACCCCCCTCGCCGTCTTCACCTCGCAGGTATACAGCGTTGTCGACGAAATGTTCCTGGCAGGCGAGATTCGGGAGACGAGCCAGACAAAGGTGCTCAAGCAGCTCCTCGTGTACAACTCCCTGGAGTGAGACTTCCACCGCCGGCATCCCAAACAATCCCAAACGGCATTCCCACCTCTTTACATTGCCCCGGCGGCCGAACAGTTGACGGCGGCCAACACCTCCTCCCCTCGCTCCTTCCCTCCCGATGGTCACGAGGACGCTTGTTCTCGCGCCAACGTCGCCGATTCTTGCAGCATAAAGCAGAGCCCCAAATACTCGGTGGTACGAGCCCCTCCTCCCACTACCTCTCACTCGTCACCCAGCCCCGGTGTTCCTGAGCGCTACTGATTTTAGTCGCACGGCCGAGACTAACTCAGACCAGAAATGAAAGCGCGCGCTTCCCGCCCTAGATTGCGGCAATCGTTACGCGGGAAAACCAAGCGGGGAAGGAGGGCAGCCGGTTTGTTTTATTGGGACAATGCACGTTTCGTTTTGAGTGGAGAGAAATCGGTATGAGAACACGCCTGCCGTCGTTCGGAGAGCGTCTTGTTGCGAGGCGTCGTCAAATCGATGTTTCCGCGAGCAGACCGCCTTGCATGCCGACCTGTCCTTCCGACGCTGGGCCGTCGCACCGTTTGGTTTAACTCACTGTGGTATGTGGAGCGAATCGTCCTCGGGCTTGTGTATATAACTGTCTGGGTCCTTGCGTAACGCGGCGAACAGAAGGGAACAAGTCACATGCTGATGTCCGTATTTCTTTTTTTTTTTTTTTGCTAAAAGCAACAGAGTATTATGTGAAGAAGCATAGCCTCATGTAACCGTGTTAGCTGTACATAAAATGTGTCTGTGCCCTTCCAACTTGTTGGACTGTTTTTTTTGTGTATGAATGTTTGTGCATCGGCTGTATGGTCTTAGTCAAATTAAGCCGAAGCAACCAAGACGCACCACTGTTCTCGCTCCAAACATAAAAGTACACGTAGCTTGGAAATGCAGTATGCAGACGAGAGTGCAGCACCACTGTGTTCCAAAATGCACATCAGCTGGTATCTTTTGGTCATTCCAGCTTAGAATGTCCAAGACTGTTGAGCGCAATTAACACAAGCATGCGACTGCATGTTTTTCAAACTTTTCTCTCGGAATTGCGAGGAGTGTTATCAAAACTAAGTTTGCGATGGAATGTGCTCATTAGGGGCAGCAACTTGTAAATTTTTTGGCTGTCAATGTTTCATTTAATCCCTGAAGGGTTTTGGACCTCGTCAACGTGGAGCCGCCCCCAAGCCGTTCAGGACGAGTATAGCTCATTTGCTTTTCCTGATTCATGCACTAAACCGTTTTGGACTAAGCAGGCTTGCTTATGGCTGGCTCTGCCAACAAATAGCGGCATGTAATGTTTTTTTTTTTAAATTTCTCATTCTGTTTGTGGCTAGAAACTTGTTTTGAAGGCAACATATGTAATTTTGAAGACAATTAAGCAGTTGAGAGTCTGAAATTTCCCGAAACTAACGCAGGTTAAAGGGTTAAGCAAAAGTGTTCTGCACCGTACACGCCCGCGTGCGATGATAATGTATGTTCAATGACCTCAGTGTTCTTGTTGGGCGATACGGAGAGAATGCATCTTTTCTGTCACTAGCCTTTAGCACCCTCATTCATGTACAGTGTACACTGCAAGCAGTAGCGTACCAACTTGTTTTTGAGTGGGGGTGCAAACCATACCACCCCCCCAGGGCCGTGGCGATGCCCTAGGTATCCCTGTGGCGCCGCCGGCTAGTCTTTCCCTACGCAGTAACGGCCGTTTCAGGGGGGGCGAAACACATGCCCCTCTGAGAACTGGGCGGGGGGGGCGGCAAGCACCCTTCTTGCCCCCCCGGTTGGTATGCCCATGACTGCACGGTACTGCACATTTTGCTCGAGCAGTTTATAGACGGGAACCAAACTTTAGCGCTTGGATTACTGCCCAGAATAAGGGCTTTCCACAACACTACGGTAGCCATTTTTATGGCAGCGGTTCAATTTTAAGAAAAAGGGGAAAAACTGGCAATTGCTGCTTTGTGCTAACAGTATCGCACCACAATATAAATACCAGTAGTAGAGACGGGACTGGCCGACTAGGTGATGATTCAAAGTCAAAAGTCAAATTTGGGGGTTTTACGTGCCAAACCAACGACGGGCATCTGGCACGCCCCAGTGGAGGACAGGATTAGTCTGGACCACCTGGGGATCTTTTGATGTGCAACCGTAAGCTCGGTTACACAGCGTCTCCAGGTGATGATTCAGGATCTGCTAAGCACCATTTCCTTTTCAGGATGTTCGAAATTATTTCCGGAGACGTAGTTTCAAGGCAGGCTTTACATGGCATACTAATAATTCAGTTCCATAATACACCTGTGTCGGCGGTCCTGCCGGAACCGCAACCTTCAAAAGCCTCACAAATCATTCGTCCAACTACAAATGCTGACATTGTGTGCTAACACGAAAACAATCTGCTCTCCGACAGCGCAAGCATTCTTCCACAGGGTTTCTTTTGCAGCCACAGCCAGTTGGCAGCATTGGAGCGAACAAACAATCTGGTAATACTAACAAAGTGCATTCTGAAATAGGTGTTTGTGCACAGGCAAGCCATTGCACTGAAACAGCCAAGACAACGGGACAAGTATGATGTCTTAAAACTTTTAGGCGGTGTCGCTCTTGTCCTTTTAGTTTATTTTCTTGTATCTGAATTTTTTTCAGTATCTATGAGTTTGATGTGCCAGGTACACACAGGGATGATGGTGATGATCTAGAGGTATGGTGCCTGGAACGCGACGCCAAGTGGTGCGTTCTCCCTGTCCTAAAAAAAGGGGGTCCTTCGATTTCCGCCTCACGAAATCACAGAAGTCGTGCTGTCACTGGCCACGACCCTGGAAGTGTCGCAGCAGTAGAGCCCCGAGTTGCCTCTGCTTGTGACAAGCCACATAAAGAGATTTAAAGAAATGTTTCGCAGCTCTATTTTTCCTCCCATTTTGACAACTCCAGGGCAACGTGTTTCGCGAGCTTGAGTCGTTTGTGCCGTCTGCGCTTCCTGGCGCCCTCTTGAATAGCAGCTTCGGCCGTCTCGGCTGCCGGCGGCCGTTTCGCCTTCTTTTTCTTGCAGGAGAGCGGATTGGGACCGCTCACCTTCCGCTTCTTTCGCTTGACAGGCGCCTCTTGAAGGAGGTTCTCTTTCCGCTTCAGGCTTTCGATCACCCGCAGTTGGTGAGCGGGCGCTTCGGTCTGCGCTCGGAGGGTGAGCGCGCCGGCCTTCTCCGACTTCTCCGACGGCTTCTCCAGGGTGATCGCGTTGAAGAGGAACAGCAGCGGAACGCCGACTAGTTTCCGAACGCGATCGCTTAACTCCGGGTCTTGCGTGGCGACCATGTAATGGTCCGGGTTCTTTTTGCGGACCATCGTGTGGAAACAGTTGGCGGCCGTGATCGGGCTTTTCTCGTGGCCGCATATGCGGACGGGGAACTGCTTGATCACCAGCGTGGCGCCGTACAGGGCCGGTCCCAGTTTTTCCGACTCGGCGATGGCGCACACGGTGGTGCAGAGTTTGACTTCGTCGTTCAGGTATTTTGGCATCTGCTCGCGGATGTTCACCTTGTACTTGAGCGCTGCAGCGCAGAAAGTGCCGTCGACTAGGATCTGGAACGGCGGTCTGAAGCCGAAGACGTTCTTGTAGAACGTCAGGTGCCGTTGGACACGTTTGTAGCGGTTGATGCGCATTTTTGGTCGGTATTTTCACTATTCTAGGCGCACACGCGGACGGCACGAACGACTGTAAACATTTCGGCGTGAGCAGGAGCAGGCGTTGGTGCGGCATGAGCAAGAAAGCGATCAAGACTTGACTTTATTGACTAAGTTTTAGTGACGCAGAGGGCGCCAGTAGAGAGCCTACATTTGAGTGGGAGAGTCGGCGACAGGGGGGTAAAGGTGGGTGAGGAGGAGTGGCAAATCCCGTGCGCCGACATCCTGGGTCCCGAGTGAACGAACGCAAAAGAGAGCGACAGAACACGAGAGAAAGAAAGCAACGTTGCCATGGTAAACGCAAAGAGTGAAAACTCTCAGCAATATAAACAGTGATAATTTAACGTTGTAAACTAAATTATGAGCTATTCTAACGCTTATAAAAAGCAATAAACTCATTACGCTGCATTAACTTCCCTTCTGTCGAAATCTCGGAAATCTGGTGGTTGCGCAGTATCGTATTCCTCAACGGCGCCCAGCCGCGCCCCACCGGCGAAGCCGGGTATATGGTTTAGTTTAGCGTTAACGCGAGGCCGTACATCTGCGCGCTTTTCAAAAAGAAAGCTTCGAAAGGAACGTGAATATCTTTCCAACGGTAAGTTCGTGAATTGTTGAAGTTCACGAAACTGCTCTGATGTAGCCGTGTTTGGGACCCAGAGTGTCTGCCTGCATGATCCGCCGCTTGCGGCAGCCAGAATGTATGGGAAAATGGCGGACCTTTTCCTCTAGAGTTAGTATGTATGATCTCTATGGTCGGCGAGGACGGCGAGTAGCAACTTGAAGCAACCTAATGGCTGCCGCGTCACGTGATTTCAAGATGGCAGCGCCCATGCTGCCATCTTGAAATCACGTGACGCGGCAGCCATTAGGTTGCTTCAAGTTGCTACTCCGCTCTCTCCTCTGCGCCTTGGAGGACGCGTTGTATTCGTGTTTTTCGTCGCGTTTCGCCGCTCTTTCTTGCCTTACCTCGGAAACTGTAGTCCGATACGTCTACTCGACGATTAAGACATCTCGAGGGCTCAGATGTCCTTGTGACAACTGATGTTTGTTTACTAATAGTGGCGGAACATTCTCAGTAAGAAGCGCGTATATTTATATCGCGCATTGAGGATCGTAAGGCGTCAAGAATAGTCAGCGCAAGGAGACTATCTGTATTTCCCGAAAGTATCCGCTTTGCAATCATAATATATTGAAAACACTTTTGTTTTATTATGTGAGGAAACTCGCGGAGAAGATGAACAACGAACGTTTAACTTGTATTTTATCTGAGGCTAGAAGTAATGGTACGTCAACATCAGGCGATTTATTTGTTCATAATATCGGACCTACATGTGTAGGAGGTTCTCAATAATTGTATACCGTGCTCGCTCCCATTTCAACTGTCATTTAAGTGATTTATTGATTATATTGAAATAACCAGTTCAGTCCACTTCATTTATATTAACACAAAGATTGGGACTTCCCGCGTAAGAAACTGACACAGGCACTTAACAGTAGCGAGTTTTAGAAAACAAGTGCACTAAGAAATAACGTCGTTTGTCTCTATTTGCAAATCCAAAACACGGTTTGTGTTCGACGCATAAACAAGAATGACGACGGTTTCTTTTTTTTTTTTTTTTTTGCGTACGTTGTTTTATTTTTTGCCAGTATCTGGAATCCGCAATGTTTGACGCCTAAAAAGAAAAAAAGAAGAAAAAAAAAAAACGTCTGCAAGACAATCACTTGAGTCCAGGATTGTCGATGGCGAATGGAGGTTTACTTTTGGTGGCTGGCGACGCCGAAATTTACAAAGCCAATCTGTTCACAAACAAATAAATATTTGTTCACACAGGCCCGTGAAGTGGTGCCTAGCGCTAGAATTCAGCAAAACGTTCCGAGGTATTTCTCCTCCTGCGCACTTTAATTTTATTTGGCCAGATTTTCGGAAGACAAATGCCAGATTTAATTTGACGGGCCTGTCACTTATATCTTGAGTAAGCAAATGTTCATATAACAATAATTTATTTCCTAGGGTCAATATCGCAAGATGCTGCTTATGAGTTTAAAAAGTTCCCTACTCGGCCTGTCAAAACATGCTCGAGTACTGAATTAAAAACAAAAAAGAGTTACAGACGATATTACTTGTTTATATTAATTATGCTTAGTAGAAGAGCGTGTTGGTTTAAGTCATGAATGAAGAAAGAATAAACAATTAAAACAGGGACAACACAACTACATCTTTCACAAGATGTAGTTGTATTGTCCCTGTTTTAATTGTTTATTCTTTCTTCATCCATGATATATTAATTATCTGCGTCATTACACAATACGTTTTTAGTCAGCGAAGTTCACTAAAGTTTGAGTGCCCTCGAAAACCAAACAGTGAGTAGTAAACTCGCGAGTCCATCTGTTCTGACCGATTCAGCACACTGCTAACCAAGCTGTCGATATGCTTATTTACACCCCGTGTTATTTTCGTCATCACTTTGTTTTTTTCTGAAAGCTGGTGCCATTGTATACGGCCGTAGACGATGGTAATCTTCCCTGTGCCTCAGTCAGGCGTTTTCCAACCGTCCATAATCAGGTACATCAAAGCAGTTGGTAAAAACAATTACGCAATTTAGGCTAAAATACACCTCGTAGTCCTCAAAGTGGCTCAATAACAAAGTTTTATTGGTTGTGTGGTACAAGAAAAATGAACGTATCACAAAAGTAAGTTAAAAACAACGTAAAACAGCAACATAGCCGCGTTCCCGTTGAAACCGAAACCAACCAAATTGAAGCAACCTAATGGCGCCGAGTGCGTCAGCGCCCTCTATCCGCCGGTGAGGCAACTACTAAAATGAAAAGGTCTGAGCAGAGGTGATGATGATGCGGCTATTTCCCTTTGAATCGGAAGGACTCAAACAAGGTTTGTGCCCAAGCCTGGGAGCGTAGGCGTAGGTGTCTTAATGCTCCCTGAGGTGGATCTTCTGCCACCAGTCCTCCAGTCTCCTTTTTGTGTCTGCAACGAGCCTTTTTGTGTCGTTGGAGGCTACCTTCAGCCCCGTAGCTGGGCAGACTTCTGTGAATTGTCCAATTTCTATGTCAGTGAAGCCCAACGCTTCAGCGAGCGCTAAAGCGCGATCCAAACCAACGCTTCTTTTTGCCTATGCTTTTTGCGCCTGTAGGTCGTGCGGCTGCGGATGTGACGTATTTTCGTGACGTCGCACCGCTTCTTCGCTCCTTCCGGGCGCGCACAAGAAAGTTGGTTGATTTCAACTTCTCAACGCGCATAAAAACGCGTGGTGACGTAGTAGGGCGCTCCTGTGTCCCGGCCAATCGGTGGAGGGCAAGCTAGTTCCGGCTCCGCGTTTCTCCCCGTCTGGCTGCCCTCTCCCCCCCCCCCCCCCCCCCCCTTTTTTTTTAATTCTCTTTCAACATGACAACGCGATCTCTCTCTCTCTCTCTTTCTCTCGCCGTCTGGCCGGTCAGTCTGTCGCAGTTGCACTTTGCTTGTGCGCTCGTGCCTGCGTGCGCACGTGCGCGCTCGCCCGAAGTTTCGCCCGTTCAAACCAAAGCGCACGGTTCTGACTCAGAAAGCGCGCCCGGAAACAGCAAAAACGCCACGAAATGCGTCACATCCGCAGCCGCACGACCTACAGGCGCAAAAAGGAGCGTTGGTTTGGATCGCGCTTTGCCTAGGGTGCCTTCTTGTGCGCTTTGCTTAGGGTGGAGACATCTGGCCATTTTGTCTCACACTTTTATTTTTATTTTTTGTTCAGAAGGGCGTGAAAGAACGTGTCCCTGCACGCGCTCGTGGCGCTGACTGTGCCACGGCGACATTTTGTTTTCGTCAATTTCTTTGTATTTTACCCGTGAGCGCGTGCTGTCGGCATCGGGTACTACAAAGGGTGGCATCACCCTTAACAGAAGGACATTGAGGCACCCTAGCTTTGCCTATAACACAGCGTCCGCAGTGCCACGGCACATGCCTCGAACAAGAAGCGGCTACCCAGGCTATTGTCATACAGCCGGACTTCCGAGGCGATGGTTATTTTGTTGGCGAGGTACACCTCCAGCGTCGATTTCGTTCGGGCTTCTTGGACCTTGGGCCATTGTCCTGTGACCGGGACGGCTTGAGTCTCGCGCAGTCTAGCACAATATGCTCCACCGTTTCGTCATTTACCCCACACACCCTACACATTGTTGACGTGACAGTGGTGTCGAAACGACGCCTATAACACAGCGTCCGCAGTGCCACGGCACGTGCCTCGAACAAGAAGCGGCTACCCAGGCTATTGTCATACAGCCGGACTTCCGAGGCGATGGTTATTTTGTTGGCGAGGTACACCTCCAGCGTCGATTTCGTTCGGGCTTCTTGGAGCCATTGTTGGGCCTCGCAGTCTCGGACTCTCTGCCTAACTTCCGACGTCCACTCAGTCTCTGTCGACGCATCAACAGGCTCCGAGAAGAAGCCGTACTTGTGTTGAAGCTGATAGAGGCGCTTCTGCCAGCGGGTCCGCAGCCCAGTCAAGTTGGTGTATATAAACAGTCTCTTCGCCCAACGGCATCTATCCATAAGTCGAAGGCGTCCGTCATACGCAATCTTGCTTGAAGCCTCCCGAGCCTCAAAGGAGGACCAGCCCAGGTCACCCTGCACTGCCTCGTTGGCGACCGCTCCACGGCAGCCCAGTGCCTGGCGTCCCACGTCTCTCTGCCTCCGCTCCATATTGGCGCGGACATCTCCTGGGACACATACCACTGCATTTGCAAATGTTAGTCCGGGTACCATTACTGCTTTCCACAATTCCCGCGAAACGATGAACCTGTTGCAACTCCAGAGGCTTCGCTTACGGAGAATGCTGGCTCCTCGTAGGGCTGCTTGGCGGAGATGGGTGTGATGGCCTTGAAGGTAGTCTGTGTCGTTCGACATTGTGATGCCCAAGTACTTGTAAGAATTAAGAATTGGTACATCGGACCCTCCGAGACGAAGGCTATCGAGAGTTGTCTCGAGGGAGCCGGAAAACACTACCGCCGCTGACTTGCTGGTATTAAAATTTAAACGAAGTTTCATAGCCTCCTTGGAGCATATGTCAAGAAGTAGCGCAATCTAGAACGCCGTCTCTCGGCGACTAGCGGCGAAT